CCCCCGTCACTCTCCTCCCCCCTCTCTCTCCCCCCGTCTCCCCCGTCTCCTCTCCCCCCCGTCCCTCTCCCCCCGACCTCCCCCTCCTCCCCCGTCACTCTCTCCCCCTCTCTCCTCCCCTCCCTCTCCCTCTCCCCCCGTCACTCTCCTCCCCCCCCCGTCACCTCTCCCCCCCGTCACCTCTCCTCTTCTCCCCCCGTCACTCTCCCCTCCCCCCCGTCACCTCTCCTCCGTCACCTCCCCCCGTCACCTCTCCTCTCCCCCCCCGTCACCTCTCCTCTCCCCCCCCGTCACCTCTCCCCCCCGTCACCTCTCCTCTCCCCCCCGTCACCTTCTCTCCCCCCCTCACCTCTCCTCTCCCCCCGTCACCTCTCCTCTCCCCCCCGCCCTCTCCTCTCCCCCTCACCTCTCCTCTCCCCCCGTCACCTTCTCCGTCACCCTCCCCTCTCCCCCGTCACCTCTCCTCTCCCCCCCGTCACCTCTCCTCTCCCCCCGTCACCTCTCCTCTCCCCGTCACTCTCCTCTCCCCGTCACCTCTCCTCTCCTCCCGTCACCTCTCCCCCCGTCACCTCTCCTCTCCCCCCGTCACCTCTCCTCTCCCCCCCTCACAGAGACGTGAAACCGGACAATGTGCTGTTGGATGTCGGAGGGCACGTGAAACTCGCAGATTTTGGCTCTTGTTTGCGTCTCAATGAGGACGGGCGGGTGAGTGAGTGAGTGAGTGAGAGAGCGAGCGGGGGGGTGGGGGAGCTCTGTGCAGACCTGTAGCTCAGGGGTTAGAGCCCTCGTCTCGCAAGCGAGAGGACCCGGGTTCGATTCCTGGGCAAGTTTCCTTACTCCCCACACACACAGACACACACACACACACACACACAGACAGACACACACAGACAGACATACACACAGACAGACACACACACACACATACACACACACACACAACACACACACAGACACCCTACGGCCTGTTTACCGCAGTCAGAAGGACCATGTTAAGGTCGATTGGGGATCACTTTCCGGGGGTAATAATCCCTTCAGAATAATAGTAATGTCGTCACTCAACCCACGGCTGTTTGTGGGGACGTCGGGGCCAATTGCGCTGCGTTTCACCCACAAAACACACAGTCACTACACTTTACAGTGTATCCTGTGAAGCATTTTGAGACGTCTCGAAGACGTGATGAGGCGCCGGGTCAGACGCTGGGATTATTATTATTAAACAATCGCTGTGTTGGTTGCTGTGCGATCACTCACTGTGTCACTGTGTGTCGTGCCCCCCTCTCCCCCCCCTCCCTCTCCCCCCCCTCCCTCTCCCCCACCCCCGTGTGTGGCAGGTCTGCTCCTCGTTGGGGGTGGGGACCCCAGACTACATGGCCCCCGAAACGCTGCTGGCCCTGGAGGATGGGACCCAGACGTATGGGGCCGAGTGTGACTGGTGGGCTCTGGGGGTCTGCGCCTACGAGATGCTCTTCGGAGAAACGCCTTTCTACTCTGAGTCCCTGTCTGCCACGTACAGCAACATCATCCATCACAGGGTGAGCGACCGAGACAACACAGGACACCACACACACACAGTCCGCACAAGACCCTCCTCTTCAACCAACCGCACCCTCGGTCACCCTCCTACCCCCCACCCTCCACCCCCTCCTGATCCCAACCCCAGCTCGGGGCCAAACCCCTAACAATTTGGGATTAATCAATTAATTCCCCCAAATCATCTCTCTCTCTCACTCTCTCTCTCTCTCTCTCTCTCCCACTCTCCCACACACACACTCTCTCTCTCTCTCATAGGAACATTTCCGGTTCCCGGACAAGATGACCGGAGTGACTGGAAAAGCCCGGGACTTGATCCGGGGTTTGCTGTGTGAGCGAGAAGAGAGGCTGGGGCGAGAGGGACTGGCGGACTTCGAGAGACAAGATTTTTTCCAAGGGGTTCCCTGGGGGAACATGGCTGACTGTTTACCCCCTTTCATCCCACACATCACACATCCCACTGACACCTCCAACTTCGAAGTAGAGGACGAGAGTTTAACATTCTCGGTTTGTTGTGTTCCACTCAGTCACTGGGAATCCTCCCACTCAGATCCCGTCAACCTCTCCGCTCCCTCTGCTCAGGGGGCTCCAGCCTGTTCCACATCCCCCCACCCCACCCCACATCCCCCCACCCCACCCCACATCCCCCCACCCCCCCCCACATCCCCCCACCCCACCCAGCCCTCGGGCTCTCTCTCTCTCTCTGCCCCCACCCTCTGGAACTCCATCCCACATTCACTTCCGCCTCTCTTCTCCCTCACCACCTTCAAGGCCTGTCTCAAGCCCTTCCTCTTCAACCAACCGCACCTTCAGTCACCCCCCCCCCCCTCCCCACCCTCCACACCCTCCTGATCCCAACCCCCAACTCGGGTCCAAATCCCAGACTGTCCAGCGCCTCGGGACGTCCTCCCGACGGGAGAGATTCCGTGTAAATGTTGTGTGTTGTTGTTGGAACGGGATTGTTGGCCGGAACACTGGGAGAGACAGAGAGAAACTCCCTTCTCTTTTCCCACTCGACTGCGCTGTGGGGGGAGATCTTTAACGTCCGCCCTGAACAGGGCACAGACCGGGACTGAGTGAGGTTTAATGTCTCATCTCATTGTCTCCAACAATGAAGCGCTCTCTCTCTCTCTCTCTCTCTCTCAAGCCATAGTTAATTCCTTCTCTCTCTCTCTGCCCCCCCACACCACCACCGCTCCCCTCCTCAGGAAAACTCCCATCCACCATTCCCAGGGCCTTTCCAAGGAATCCATCTCCCGTTTGCTGGATACACCTTCTCATCTCTCAGGTACACCTTTCCCATCTCATTCATCCCGGGAAACACGGAAACCTGGGAATGTGTGTCAGACACTGTGTGTGTGTGTGTGAGACACTGCGTGTGAGAGACACTGTGTGTGTGTGTGTGAGACACTGTGTGTGTGTGTATGAGAGATTATGTGTATGGCCGACTTTTAGACCCCCAGTGACGAGGGTCTCCTGCCCGCAGACATAGCCAGACCACTCAGGAGATGAAGGGGACACATGCGGGCGACATTGAGCTTGGCTCCGATACACAGGTAACAAACCCCACCCCCACACATTCTAATAATAATAATCCTTACATTTGACCCAACGCCTCATCACGTCTTCGAGACGTCTCACAGCGCTTCACAGAATACACTGTAAATTATAGAGACTGTGTGTTTTGTGGGCGAAACGCGGCAGCCGATTGCGCACAGCGACGTCCCCACAAACATGGATTGAGTGACAAAATTAATATTGTTTTGGAGGGATTATTACCCTCAGAACGTGATCCGCCAATCAACTAACAAGCGGGTTCCTACTGACTACTGGTAAACAGAGGAGTGTCTGTGTGTCTGCGTTTGGGGGGGTGGGTGTGGGGGGGAGTAAGGAAACTTCCCTAACCTGACCTGACCCGCCCAGGAATCGAACCCGGGTCCTCTCTCTGGCTTGCGAGGCGAGGGGTCTAACCCCTGAGCTACAGGGGTTGTGGGGTGCGAGGGGAGGGGTCTAACCCCTGAGCTACAGGGGTTGTGGGGTGCGAGGCGAGGGGTCTAACCCCTGAGCTACAGGGGCTGTGGGGTGTGAGGCGAGGGGTCTAACCCCTGAGCTACAGGGGCTGTGTGTGTGAGGCGAGGGTCTAACCCCTGAGCTACAGGGGCTGTGGGGTGTGAGGGAGGGGTCTAACCCCTGAGCTACAGGGGCTGTGGGTGGAGGGCGAGGGGTCTAACCCCTGAGCTACAGGGGCTGTGGGGTGCGGGGCCAGGGAGGGGTCTAACCCCTGAGCTACAGGGGCTGTGGGGTGCGAGGGGAGGGGTCTAACAGGACTACAAGAGATCAGCCTCTCAGCGCAGAGTGCGGCTGAGATCAGTAACTTGGGTCAGATTGAAGTTTGCCTCTGTCAAGTGAGGACAGTGTCCTGTACCTGCAGACCGTCTTCCGGAGTGTTCCGGGTGCGTCGGAGGAGGAAATGTTGAAGTTGAGGAAAGAGATGGAGGAAATGAAGATGAGGACAAACCTGAGTAAGTGGATCTCTCTCTCTCTTCCTGACTCTCTTTCGCTGTCTCTCTCTCTCGTTGTCTCTCTCTCTCTTTCTTTCTCGCCGTCTCTCTCTCTCTCTCCTCTTTCTGTCTCTCTCTCCCTTTTCTTCATCGAGGTTCCTCAACCAGAGAGATTCCATCTGCTCCGACCTGAGAATAAATAAGAATATTTGCGCCAATTGCGCCCATCGACGTCCCCACAAACAGCCGTGGATTAAGTGACCAAATTATTATTATTTTTTTTTGAAGGGATTATTCCCCCCGGAAAGTGATCCCCCAATCGACTAACAAGTGGGTTCCTACTGACTGCCGGGAACACAGGCGTGTGTGTGTGTGTGTATATATAGAGTAAGGAAACTTGGCTAAGGTTTCGCCCTCACCCCCCCCCCCCCCCCCGGAATCGAACCTCTGACTTGCGAAGCGAGGGCTCTAACCCCTACACTATGGGAAGAAGAGGACAAAGAAAAGGGAGGGCGGGGGGGGGGGGAAGGGGGGAGAAGAGGAGGGGGTGTTTCTGATCCATGTTACATGACGTTTCCTCGTCTCCCCCACAGGTCCCACACCTTTCGACCCCCAGGACCTGCCACTGCCCTTGGAGTTGGACAATGTTTGGGGGGTGAGTACGTAGTGAGCTCAGTGGGACGTTGTCATGGTGACGGACTCCCCCCTTCCCCCCCAAATAAAATACATAGAAACAGGCCATTCAGCCCCTCCAGCCTGTTCTGCCATTCTATAAGATCGAGGCTGATCTGTACCTCAACTCCATTTACCCCCTTTTGCCCCATATCCCCTGATCTGACACAACAAAACTGGCTCCAATGTACACGTAGTGACTGTGGACTGTGAGACGTCTCGACGACGTGATAAGGCACTGTACTAAACACGAGGATTATTATTAATATTATTTCTCTAATCTCAGTGTTCCCTCTCTCTCTCTCCTGTATAACAGACAGACTGTGCCTTCAGTGAGACAGTCTCCAGCTCACCAGTGGTGATGCCTATTCTCCGCCATCTCATCCTCTTCGCTGGGGTACGTTTATTTACCTGTGAGCCCCCACCTCCCCAACCACCACCTCACACCAAACTCCCCCCCCAAGAGAAGGATGGGACAAGGCGGAGGGAGGGATTGAGGGGGAGAGAGAGTTTCGGAGCGTAGTGGCTGAAAGCGCGGCTGAAAGGGCATGAAGGGTTTTGAAGACGAGTGTGAGAGGATCTTGAAATCGATCTGTTTGGTGATTTGGAGCCAGTGGTGCCCGGCGAGGGCTGGGGAGATGGGAGGCGGGGGGGGGTTAGAGCGGGTGGGATAGGGAGCAAGAACTCTTCCCACTCACCTCATGTCAATGCTGGAAGCCGAAGCCCTGATGGTTAGGATGTTCCTCTCCTCACTCCCTGTCTGTTCAAAGCGGACGTTAAAGATCTCCCGCGACGCTGTCAGGGGGGAAAGAGAAGGGAGTTTCTCTCTCTCTCTCTCTCTCGCTTCGCGGCTGTTTGTGGGGACGTGGCTTGGGATGTATAAGGTGATTTTTTTCCGACAGGTTCTTAAGCCGAGGCGAGCTATGAAGGGGTTCCGCCTCCTGTGGCTGGCTGGAACTCGATCTTCGATGACCAGCTAGAGACTAGGACTTCACTGAGTGTCTCTCGTCATAAAACTATCCTTGTTCACTGCTTTGTTAAAGATTGTGTGTAATATAACTATACATTATATTATCTCTGTCTCTCTCACATTCTATATACATAATTAGAATTCTCCCATCACACACACACACACACTTATCACACTGTCCAGAGCTCTCAAAGCGCTTCACGGGATTTTACCAAGAGAGAGTGTCAAACAGAGACAGATAGAGAGAGAAATAGAGACAGTGAAGAGAGACAGAGGGAGAGACAGTGAAGAGAGACGGTGAAGAGAGTCGGTGAAGAGAGAGACAGTGAAGAGAGAGACAGTGAAGAGAGAGACAGTGAAGAGAGTCGGTGAAGAGAGAGACAGTGAAGAGAGAGACAGTGGAGAGTCGGTGACGAGAGAGATGGTGACGAGAGAGACGGTGACGAGAGAGTCGGTGAAGAGAGAGTCGGTGAAGAGAGAGACGGTGAAGAGAGAGACGGTGAAGAGAGAGACGGTGAAGAGAGAGACGGTGAAGAGAGAGACGGTGACGAGAGAGACGGTGAAGAGAGAGTCAGTGAAATCGAGTCAGAGAAAAACAACAAGACTTCCAGAACAGAACCGAAGCGAACACCTCGATATCCCGATTTATTTCAACCACCAAAAAAACTTATACATCCACCAAACTCAAAAAGAGGCCTCAAACGCCGCCTTCATACAGTTATATTATTATTATCATTAATACCCCGAGATTCTTTGTTCCTGGAAAACCACGGGATATAACAACACAATTTGCTTTCAGCGCTGCGTCTCACTGTCACACAACCCCCAAAATTCCATCACCCCCAAAAAACATCAACTAGGGGCAGGTTTGGGAGGGGAGGGGTGGGGGGGATGTGAGGAGGGTTGGGGAGAAGGGGGAGAGGGGAGGGGGTTGGGGATGTGCGTGGGGATGGGGTGAATGGGGGAGAGGGGTTAATCCTATCTCGACCCAATCTCCGGATCGAGATAACCGCGGATTCGGCGGGATTTCCACACGCACACATCAAAAGCTCAGCACACGCCAATGCCACGCCAACGTCACGCAACACACACAAGCGGACGCAAAAGATAATCAGAGAAGGAAAGGAAGCTTGGGGGGAACTTCCAGCCGTTCCCGTGTCAGGAACACGGCACAGAGCTTCCCGGAGATCCCAGCACCAACCAGGAAAATAGCACCAAAGGTGGGCGGGAAGGGGCAGGGGCCATGGAGGAGGGGCAAAGGGCAGAGGGAGGGGCGAGGGAGGGGTGAGGGAGGGAGGGGCGAGGGAGGGGGGAAGGAGGGGGCGTCAGAAGAACGAAAGAGAAATAGAGTGAGCGATTGAGAGAGATATAGAGTGTGTGTGTAGAGCATTGAAGAGGAAGAGATGAAGACGAGGAGGGGCTGAAGATGCGGGTCTCACCCCCAATGCACTCACCCCTCACTCACCCTCCCACCCTCCCCCCCCCCCAAAAGAGAGGGATTTCATCCACTGAAATAAACCAAGGGAGACGGAATCACGGAATCACCCATCTCCCCCCTCCCACCCGCGCTCTCTCAGCCTCATGTTGGAGGACGTGGTGGGGGGGGAGGGAGCGCGGGAGGGGGCAAAGCCCCTAAACGACCCCCCACTGGATGACACTGGTGTCTTTGCCGCCGATGGAGACCAGCTGGGCATCGCCGTGGAGAAAAGTCACGTTGGTGACATGACTGCTGTGTCCACCATAACTGTGACTGGGAGCCTGGAAAAACAACAACAACAACAACAACAACAACACAAGCAATTATACAGTGTCCCTCACGCAGGGTAACGCTCCAGAGCGCTTAAACAGCACAATTATAATAATACATAATAATAATAATCCTGCCATTTGACCCGGCGCCTGATCACGTCTTCGAGACGTCCCAAAGCGCTTCACAGGAGACACTGTAAAGTGTAGTGACTGTGTGTTTTGCGGGTGAAATGCGGCAGCGAATTGCGCCCGGCGACGTCCCCCACAAACAGCCGTGGGTTGAGTGACGACATTACTATTATTCTGAAGGGATTATTACCCCCGGAAAGTGATCCCCCAATTGACTAACCAGCGGGTTCCTGGTAAACAGGCGCGTGGGGGTGTGTGTGGGGGTGTGTGTGTGTGTGTGTGGGGGGGGGGGAGGGGGGGGGGTCGGCAGTAAGGAAACTTGTCTAAGGTTTCGCTCTGATCTAATCTGCCCGGGTGGGGGCCTCTGGCTTGCGAGGCGAGAGCTCTGACCCCTACACTACAGGACCCCACAGCTAAGTTTAAGGTGAGTGCTGAAGGTCCTGGTGTTTCTGTGGTGACACACGTACCCGAGGGTGGGAGCAGGGGAACGAGAACAGGTTGACTTTGCCAAAATCGTCGGCCGTGGCTAACAGCTGGTCATCAGCTGACCGGCAAATAGCGTTGATATCCGTGCCGTCTGCTCCCTCCGGCCACACCCCTGTGGGGAGAGAGAGAGAGAGAGAGAGAGTACATTAATCATCGTCATGATGACAGTCCTGGCGGTTGACCCGGCGCCTCATCACATGGTTGAGACGTCTCAAAGCGCTTCACACGATACACTGTCAAGTGCAGTGACTGTGTATTTTGTGGGCGAAACACGGAAGCCCATTGCGCCCAGCGACGTCCCCACAAACAGCGGTGGGGGTTGAGTGACTGTTTTTTTAAAATTTTATTGGCCCACATTTACACAGCGCTCTCTCTCCCCGTCCGGGAATCCAACCCGAGTCCTTCCGCTTGCGAGGCGAAGGCTCTAATGCGCTACAGGGACTGCGCAACACCCACCGGAAAGCAAGAGTTTGTTGGACAAAAGAAGAACGAGGCCCATCTGGTGCACCTCCCACCGTCCTGGCGGTCGCCTGACATGTCGTGTCCCCGACTATACAGTGAATCACCGATGATGAAGTGCTCTGGTACACGTAATCCCTTTGCTCGATGCCTGACAGGTCATCGCAACGTCTCAAACGTCTTGTGTTTGACGCCCGCGCTCCCCCCGCCCATTCCAGGGAGTGAAGTGACTGTGTAGTTTGTGTGTGTGTGGGTGGGGTGGGTGAGGGGGGTAGAAACTGTGAGTTGCCCCTGAAGTCCTGACTTACCAAACACCTGGAAGCCCAGTGCACAGGTGGAGGAGACCCATTGCACACTGCGCACCTGGTCTGCGCTGGTCACCTGCTTACAGCTCGGGGTCCCTGTGTGAGAGAGCGAGTGAGAGGGAGACCAGGAAGCCCCTCCCCCTCCCATTAGCTCCTCCCACCCACCCAAGCCCCTCCCCTACCAAGGACCACCCCCTCCCTGACCAAGCCCCTCCCCTCCCCAGCACCACCCACCCACCCACCCGAGCTCCCCCTCCCCACCCTCTACCCACGAACCTTACCCCCTCCCATTGGAACTCCTCCCCTCCAAAGCTCCTCCCCTCCACTAAGCTCCTCCCATCCACCAAGCTCCTCCCATTCCCGCACAAGCTCCTCCCCACCCCTCCCTGTCCCCCTCCCCCCGCCCCGAGCCCCGCCCACACACTCACAGTGGAGAATCTCGTAGTCGCCCGAGTTGGTGACGAAATAGTGACTGTCGTGCGACCAGTCCAGGTGAGTGACGAAGCTCGAGTGGCCCTGAGACAGGAAACAACAACAACAACAACAGCAACTCACACACGCGGCGTCGGGAGGACGTCCCCGGGCGCTGGGCCGGACAGTCAGGGGTTTGGACCCGAGCTGAGCGTTGGCATCAGGAAGGGGTGGAGGGCGGGGGAGGGTGACCGGAGGGTTCAGACGGGCCTTGAAGGAGGCGAGGGAGGGGCGGGGGAAGGCGGTGAGGGAGGGGCGAGGGAAGGCGGTGAGGGAGGGGCGAGGGAAGGAGGCGAGGGAGGGCCGGGGGAAGGCGGTGAGGGAGGGGCGAGGGAAGGCGGTGAGGGAGGGGCGAGGGAAGGTGGTGAGGGAGGGGCGAGGGAAGGAGGCGAGGGAGGGCCGGGGAAGGAGGCGAGGGAGGGGCGAGGGAAGGCGGTGAGGGAGGGGCGAGGGAAGGCGGTGAGGGAGGGGCGAGGGAAGGCGGTGAGGGAGGGGCGAGGGAAGGCGGTGAGGGAGGGGCGGGGGAAGGCGGTGAGGGAGGGGCGAGGGAAGGCGGTGAGGGAGGGGCGAGGGAAGGCGGTGAGGGAGGGGCGAGGCGGAGGGACTCTGGGATGGAGTTCCAGAGGGTGGGGGCAGAGAGGCTGACCGCACGCGCGACCCCCTCACTCGCTTCCCTCCCCCGAGGCTCGCGGCCCCCGCCCCCGAGGCCCCTCCCTCCCTCTCTCATGGTCCCTCCCCCTCACGGCCCCGCCCCCGGCGCTGACTCACTGAGCACCTCCCGATCCGACTGTACTTCCTGCCGCCGTCAGACACACCGTAAACATACACATAGTTGTCGTGGGAACCGATCGCCAAGAAATTCCCATCTGTGAAGAGAGAGAGAGAGAGAGAGAGATAAAGGAGAGAAAGAGGAGAGAAAAAAAGAAAAGGAGAAGAGGAGAGCGCGAGAGAGAGAGAGAGAGAGAGACACAGAGGTGTTGGGTCGCTCACCGGGGGAGTAAGCCATGACCGAAAATTTCTCATTGCCGTCGCTGCGACACGTCACCACCTCCTGCGTCTCCACGTCCAGCACCAGCCACCTGCCGAGATCACAGAGACCCCCACCCCACAGTCACTCACTCCAACATCAACCCCCCCCCAACACTCCCCACCCCCCCAACAACACAGCTCAGTCACTGACACCAACACCCCCCCGCCCTCCGCCCCCCCCAATAGGGAGCCAGTGGTGCTATTTCGTCTCCAACCTCCCAACACCCCGCCCCCCCCCCACCCGCCTCACTTGGCTGTCTGTAGCCCCACCGCGATGACAGATCCACTGGGATGGAATCCCACCGCCTGGGCCGGATCCTGCCGGAAAAAAGAGGAAATTAAGGATAATAATAATAATAATCCCGGCATTTGACCCGGCGCCTCATCACGTCCTTGAGACGTCTCAAAGCGCTTCACCAGGACTTGCTGTCAAGCGTAGTGACTGTGCGTTTTGTGGGCGAAAGGCGGCAGCCAATTGCGCCCAGCGACGTCCCCACAAACAGCAGTGGGTTGAAGTGACCGAATTATTCTTATCATTCACAGACCCACACAAATAACAAGTTGCATTTATATTAGCGCCCTTCACGGGGGTCGCGTCTCGGAACACTTACACACACACACACACCACAGCAACACACACTTACGTCCAGAGTCTGACTCCACACAGGTTGGTGGGAGCTGGAATCCCACAGGTGAAGCAGACGATCATGGCCGCACGTGGCAAACAGCCCAGTACTGGGGTGAGCAGCCAAACCCCACAGCTCGTCAGTGTGACCCTGAGACACCATCATCATCATCATCATCATCAAAACGACTCACACAAAAGAGCGATGGAGAGAGAAAGAAAGGGAGAGCGAATGTTTGTGTGGAGTGTAGAGGGAGCAGAGAGTGAGCGAGCGGGAGGGTGAGCGAGCGGGAGGGTGAGTGAGCGAGTGAGCGAGTGTTAGTGAGTGAGGGGGCAGTGAGTGTGTGTTAGTGAGTGTGTGTTAGTGAGTGAGTGTGTGTGTTAGTGAGTGAGTGTGTTAGTGAGTGAGTGTGTGTGTTAGTGAGTGAGTGAGAGTGAGTGAGTGTGTTAGTGAGTGTGTTAATGAGAGTCAGTGTGTTAGTGAGTGTGTTAGTGAGTGTGTTAGTGAGTGAGTGTGTGTGTTAGTGAGTGAGAGTGAGTGAGTGAGTGAGTGAGTGTGTTAGTGAGTGTGTTAGTGAGTGTGTTAGTGAGTAGGCAGTCGCGGTGTTGGCTGCTCACACTGACCTGTACAATGGGGTTGTACCCATTGGCCAGGGAGCCCTGGAGGATACAGTTGCGGGTGGTCCCCACGAACAGCTCAGCCCCCTTCCCCTCCGCAATCGTCCTCACCGGCCCAAAGGCCTCCGGCACCTGCACAAGGACACACAAAGAGTCAGCCGCTCACTATCCTTCTTACACACACACACGCGCGCACACACACACACACACATGCGCGCGCACACACACACGTACACAGTCTTAACATGAGCAATAATCACAAGTTGGGCCTCTCCGTTGCTCGCCCTCCCGCCTCCGAGTCAGTGTATGTGAGTGAATAATAATAATCCCGGGGTCCTCACGTCGTCAAAACGTCTCAAAGCACTTCACAGGATACACTGTAAAGTGTAGTGACTGTGTGTTTTGGGGGTGAAACACCGCAGCCGATTGTGCCCAGCGACGTCCCCACAAACAGCCGGGGGTTGAGTGACCGATTTATTATTATTTATTTTATTTTGAAGGGATTATTACCCCCAGAAATCGACTAACAAGCGGGTTCCTACTGACTGCTGGGAAACAGATGCGTGTTTCATCCTGACCTGACCCGCCCGGGAATCGAACCCGGGTCTCTCGTTTGCGAGACGAAGGCTCTAACCATTGAGTTACGAGGGAGATGAGGAGGGAGGACATAGTAGTGAGGAAGGGAAGGAACGAAGCTCTCTCTAACCTCGCTCTCCTGCAGTTTACGGTATTGTTGATCCCACAGGATGAGTTTCCGATCTTTCCCTCCGCCCGACAAAAGGGTCCCATCGTTCCGCATACACACACTGAAAATCCCCCCTTCGTGAGCTCCCGCAACCACACTGCGGATCCTGTTAGTCCCTGAAACCAGCAACAACAACACATGACATTTACACGTTGCCTTTCGTGTCAGGAGGACATCCCGAGGCGCTGGACAGTCAGGGGTTTGGACCTGAGCTGAGGGTTGGGATCAGGAGGGGGTGGAGATAGGAGGGTGACCGAAGGCGCGTTGGTTGAAGAGGAGGGTCTTGACACTGGCCTTGAAGAGGGCGAGGGAGGGGGCGAGGTTGGGAGGGCGTGAGGCGGAGGGACTGTGGGATGGGATTACAAAGGTTGGGGGCACAGAGGCTGATGGTGGGGGGATGTGGAGCAGACCAGAGCCGCTGAGCGGAGGGAGCGGACAGGTTAATTATGGAGTTGTAGGTCACAGAGGTAGGGAGGAGCGAGGCCTTGGAGGGGCTTTGACTGACAATGCAGCTCTCTCTCTCTCTCTCCCCAGCGCTGTGTGAAGCCTGGACTGTGAGCTCAGAGTCCCTGATGTGGGGGACGGGGCTCGAACCCATAACTTCCTGATTCGGAAGCGAGGAAGGTCGGGGAGCGGCGAGACTGACCTTTTCCCCAGATAATGAGGTTTCCACTGGAATCTCCCGAGATCACGTCTCCATTCTGTGAGAAAGTCACCGACAGAACGTACTTGGGTTTCTCCTGTTTCTGAGACACAGAAACAAACGCGCAAACAAACAGGTCAGAATAATAATATTAATAATAATAATCCTTGCATTTTATCGTGTCTTCGAGACAACTCAAAAGCGCTTCACGGGATACGTTGTAAGTGTAGTGACAGCAGTGTCCCACAAGCAGTCATGGATTGAGTGACCAAATTATTATTATTATTACCCCCGGGAAAGTGATCCCCCAATCGACTAACATGCAGGTTCCTACTGACTGCCGGTAAACAGAGGCGTGTGTGTGTGTGCGTGTGCGTGTGCGTGTGCGTGTGTGTGGGGAGTGAGGAAACTTGCCGAAGGTTCCGGCCTGACCTGACCTGACCCGCCCAGGAATCGAACCCGGGTCCTCTGGCTTGTGAGGAGTTAGTTGTATGATGTTGTCGTGGTCTCACCTCGAAGATGCCCTGTTTCTTGGTCAGAACACTGCCCTCCAGGGTCCAGAACAGGATGTGGGATTTCCCGCAGGTGACGATCAGGTTCGCCTCCGTCGGGTGGAAACTCGCCGCCAACACAGGCTCATTAGAGCACTGACAACGAGAGAGGGAGAGAGAGAGAGAGAGAGAGAGATCGTATGACAGAGAGTGAGATTGTGTGAGAGGGAGGGAGGGAGTGTGAGAGAGTGAGGGATTGTATGAGAGGGAGCGAGGGAGTGTGAGAGAGTGAGGGAGTGTGAGAGAGGGGGGGAGGGAGTGTGAGAGAGTGAGAGGGAGTGTGAGAGAGTGCGAGGGAGTGTGAGAGAGTGTGAGGGAGTGTGAGAGAGTGTGAGAGAGTGTGAGAGAGTGTGAGAGAGTGTGAGAGAGTGTGAGGGAGTGTGAGCGAGTGTGAGGGAGTGTGAGGGAGTGTGAGCGAGTGTGAGGGAGTGAGGGATTGTGTGAGCAGGAGGGAGGGAGTGTGAGAGAGCGAGGGAGTGTGAGAGAGCGAGGGAGTGTGAGAGAGCGAGGGAGTGTGAGAGAGCGAGGGAGTGTGAGAGAGCGAGGGAGTGTGAGGGAGTGAGGGATTGTGTGAGCAGGAGGGAGGGAGTGTGAGAGAGCGAGGGAGTGTGAGAGAGCGAGGGAGTGTGAGGGAGCGAGGGAGTGTGAGGGAGTGAGGGATTGTGTGAGAGGGAGCGAGGGAGTGTGAGAGAGCGAGGGAGTGTGAGGGAGCGAGGGAGTGTGAGGGAGCGAGGGAGTGTGAGGGAGTGAGGGATTGTGTGAGAGGGAGCGAGGGAGTGTGAGAGAGGGAGGGAGTGTGTGAAAGGGAGGGAGTGTGTGAAAGGGAGGGAGTGTGTGAAAGGGAGGGAGTGTGTGAAAGGGAGGGAGTGTGTGAAAGGGAGGGAGTGTGTGAAAGGGAGGGAGGGCGTGTGAGGGTTTGTGTGAGAGAAAGAGAGTGCATGTGAGAGAGTGAGACAGAGAGCGGATGTGAGAGTGAGAGAGACAGAGTGTATGAGGGGGAGAGAGAGACTGACCTTGACCTCCGACACCCGGCTCTCTCGTGGCCAATCCCACACAGACAACATGTGTTCATTGGAGTCGTCCACAGCACAAAGATACCCTCCTCCATTCTGTACACAACACAACACACAGCCGCCAGTATCACACCATCATTATATTTATTTTTGAGGTGAGCGCAGCAACCACTACACCACAGATTCCCTCCATCTCGCCCTCTCTCCACATCCCACCCTTTCACCATCCCTCTCTCCATCCTCCCTCTCTCCATCCTCCCTCTCTCCATCCTCCCTCTCTCCATCCTCCCTCTCTCCATCCCCCCCTCTCCATCCTCCCTCTCTCTCTCTCCCTCCCCTTCTCTCTCCATTCATAACATAACATGTACGAGCAGGAGTCGGCCATTCGGCCCTTCGAGCCTCTGCCCCGCCATTCATTCATGGCTGATCTTCTAATCCAACTCCAGCTAATAACCTGACGCTGCCTTATCCCCATATCCCTTAATCCCTTTGGCAATAAGACATCTATCTCTCTCAGTCTTGAATATGTTCAAGGACTGAGCGTCAACAGCCCTTTGGGGTAGTGAGTTCCATACATTCACTGCCCTTTGAGTGAAGTCCATCCTTCCCAAAATAAGGAACCAAAACTGCCCACAGTATTCCAGGTGTGGTCTCACAGGGCCCTATACAGTTGCAGTGAGACTTCCCGACTCTTATACTCTAATCCTTTCATAATGAACTCTAACATACCGTTCCCCTTCCTAATCGCTGCTGCACCTGCAGAATAACTTCCTGTGATGGTGTACAGGACACCCGAGTCCCTCTGGACACCAACACACCTCACCTATCTATTCCTCCCTCTCATCATTCCTCCCCCTCCCTCCCCTCTCTCCATCCCCCCCCCCTCTCCCTCCCCCTCCCCCCCCCGGTGACTCACGCTCTGGGAGAAGCTGAGGCAAGTGACCGCCCGGTCGAAGCCCCCGATGATGTGCAGAGTGTTGAGGCTGACGGAGTCCCAGACCCGGGCGTGAGGGGCCAGCGGCTGTCGGGGGGAGTGGGGGGGGAGAGAGAGGATGAGAAATCCATAGGGGGAGAGACACACAGAGAGACAGTTATAGAGAGAGAGAGTGAGAGAGAGAGAGAGTGAGAGAGATTGAGAGATACTGGGGGGAGAGTGAGTTTCACAGACAGACAGAGAGTCACAGACACACACAGACACACACAGACAGACCGTGGCCGTACCTTTCCGTCTCTCCCGTTTCCCGCTACTTGTCCCGTTGCTATGGTGACACGATCAGGATGCACTGCCAGACTGGGGTGGGGGAGAACAGGTGTCAGGGTGTGTGTGTGGGGAGGGAGGGGCGCGGTGGGGGGTGGTGGGGGAGGGGGAGGGGGCGGTGGGGGTGGGGGTGGTGGTGGACGGGGCGGTGGGGGTGGGGGGTGGTGGTGGACGGGGCGGTGGGGTGGGGGTGGTGGTGGAGGGTGCGGTGGGCGGTGGGGGTGGTGGGGGAGAGCGGGGGGGTTGGTGTGGGAGTGGGTGGGGGGCAGGGGGGACGGGGGGCGGTGGGGGTGCGGTGGGCGGTTTTTCGGTGGGGGAGGGGGCGGTGTTTAGAGGAGAGAGCTCCAGTGCACGTGTGAAGGGCTCAGTGACACAGACAGGGAGGGAGGGAGGGAGGGGAGCCCGGGACGTCCCACTCGGTGTGAGTGAGTGAGTGTTGGTGTTAGGGCGAGAGGTTAGAGGTCAGGGTTGGTGTCGCCCCTCCTCACCACTTGACGTCGTCGCTGTGCCCCACATAGTGTCTCTGGAGCTGCTCCTCCATGTTGTAGAGAACAACCACTGAGGCCACAAAGTACACGATCTCTCCGGTCGGCAACAGGTACAGGTTAGAGCGACAATCCCTCCCCCGGTACCCATAGCTACACCCCCGTTAAGGTCATCGGCCGTCAGTGCTGACCCCCAGCCCCCCCAACCTCCCCACCCTGCCGCCCAGCCCCCCAACCTCCCCACCCTGACCCCCAGCCCCCCCAACCGCCAACCATTACCCTCCCAACCCTGACCCCAGGCATGACCCCAACACCCCACCCGTTAACCCCCTAATCCTGTGACCACCCCTCCCAAAGGTTAAGTGTTCCGGGGGGTGGGGGGGTGGTGGAGAAGCTATGTCAGTGACACTCAGGGTAAAGGATACACCCAGTCCATCTTCAGCTTGTGGGGTGGCAGGGTAGCTGGGCTGTGCAGCTGGTAAGAGTCAGTCACCTCCTGCGGCAAGAACATGGTGACCGGTCGTCCCCGCAGAAACATCCGTACATAACCATCATCTGCCGATCACAATCAATACCCGATCAATAACCTCCATTCACCCCCACCCCGTCCCCGATCAATCACCTCTGACACACACACACGCATGGAAAGCCATCACCATCAGCCATGGGATACGCATCTCTCACACACACACACTGCCCAGGCTTTGGAGGGGGGGGGGGGAGCCCAGAGTGTGCGTTGGGGTAACTGTTGGGGTCTAACCAACTAAACCCACACACAGCTCAGCCATCGAGAGCGAGAGAGAGAGAGAGAGAGAGCGAGCGCTGTCTGGCCGAGCTTTCCCGCTGCGTGTCCCGCTCGGACCCCCTCCCCGTTAGTTAGTTGGGGCTTTGGCTGTGGGGTTACCAGGAGCTGAGGGGGAGGATTCCCGGCCCCCAGGGACTGGTCGGCCCTTCCAGGTCCTGCCGATGAGCCGGGCCGGGCTGTGCTGCCATCAGCAGTGAGTGCCCCGGGACCCCGCGGACCCTCCCGGCTCAGGAACAGAGTGAGAGAGACAGAGAGAGATGGGGGGGACGAAGGGAGTGTTGAGGTGAAGCTGCTCATGTTTGTGTGAGTCTGTGACCTCTATCCTTTACCTGCACTGAACACCGCCTCCTTGTGTTTGCTGTAACACAAAACAAAATTAATATTAAAATTATGTCAAAAGTTCACCTTCCCCCAAAAAACAAAGTCACCACTGTCCGCAGTTGACTGCGATTCCCAACAACAACAACAACAAGATTCCATTTATAAAGCGCCTTTCACGTCAGGAGGACGTCCCAAGGAAACATCCGGTCACAGACAGACGTGCCAGAGCTTTGGTGGGGCGGGAATTGTGGTGAGCGGGAGGGAGGGTTGTGTTTAGTGCAGGGTGGGGCTGGGCAGGGATTTAAATAGTTAGTGACATCCCGAGGCGCTGACTTAATGACTCAGTCACTGCTGCCAAATGCACTCCCTCCCTCCCCACCGGGTACACATTGAGCGAGAGAGAGCGAGAGCGAGAGAGAGGAGAGAGAGAGAGCTCAGCACAGCAATAAAACTTGACTTAACAAACCGCACTATGTGCTGATAACACAACTCACTCACACGCACAGCTTTCCGCTCCCAGCCAGTGCTCGCGTGTGATTTGTCTGTGGTTGTCTGTGCAAAAATAGTGGGGGGAAGAGACAGACGCACACTGAGAGCGAGAGACACACAGTGAGAGAGATACAAACACACACACACATAGTGAGAGAGACACACACAGTGAGAGAGAGTCACACACACAGTGAGAGAGACACACACACAGTGAGAGAGACACACACACAGTGAGAGAGACACACACAGTGAGAGAGACACACACAGTGAGAGAGACACACACAGTGAGAGAGACACACACACAGTGAGACATAGTGACACACACACACACAGAGTGAGACAGAGAGTGACACACACACACACACAGAGTGAGATAGAAGCACACACATAGACAGAGAGTAAATGTGCCTCTGTGAGTGTGCCTCGCTCACACTTACACACACACACACACAGGTAACACTGTGTGAGACAGAGAGAGAGATACACACACACACACACACACACACGTGTTACACTGTGTGAGTCACTATTGAAATATACTGACTGTCACCTCAGGGTGCTTTAATATATCTCAAACAGCTACGGATGTTCCAGGAGATTTGATAGTTAAGTGGTTAAGAGCAGCTTTTCTGGGTGGGCAGAGGTTCGCTTCTGATGTCCATTATCTCTCTCTCTCTGCAAACAGCCTGTGAAGGGCGGGGGCTCTCTCTGGGGCCAGGGGAGGGTGAGGCCAGAAACTCATCAAAGAAAGATGTGACTTTGGAACAGTTGGAGATGTGTAGAGGGTCAGCACTGCCCCAGTGGAATCCATATCCATTCGACTGTATCTATGTCTAGTGCACAGGGGGGAGGGAATTTATCTCCAGTAATAAGTGACCATTAAGTACAGCTTGAGTGTATGCTGTGTGATAAATATTTGAATTATATCAACAACAACAAAAGTACATTCATGGAGCGCCATATAGATGTGTTGTATTGTTATTGTGTTGTTATATGTAGTATAATTTAATTACAGATTGTTAAACCTTTCATCTTATGCAATAAATGCTATACTCTTACCACCGCCTGTCGAATTATTAACAACACACACCCAACCAGTAATATTCACAGACAGCCCGGGGCGGACAGGCAGGTATCTGTTAGTCTGTCCCTCACTACAAACACAGTTAGTGGCCAGAAACCACATCCTGGAGTTTAAAGAAGTGAAAAACAGAATGACCTCCATGGGAGGCAGAGAGCGTGCGGGAGAGAGAGAGAGAGACAGATACGCACACGCACACACCAAGAGATAGAGAGAGAAACATATAAACACACACACAGTGAGAGAGCAAGAGAGATACACAGAGAAAGACACACACACACACACACACACAGAGTGCGAGAGAGACACACAGACATACAGAGAGAGAGAGAGAGAGAAAGAGACACACACTGTGAGACAAACACACACAGACTGAGAGACACACACAAAGTGTGAGACAGAGAGAGAGAGACACACACACACACACACTTACATAGCTTTGCTCATCTCGGTCAGTGTGTGGGTCAGGGCTGGTCACTGGTTACCTTAACAACTCGCTAACTTTCACAGTTGGCTTCCAGTGCAGGAAACAAATTAACTGACAATCAACTTATTTAGTGACAGATATTATTCGTCTAATTAACTACTAGTTAGTGAGCAAACTAAAGAATCGCACGCGCTTTCTTCTTTCTTACTCTTTCTCTATGTCTTTTACCTCTCTCCCTCTCTTTCTGTTTCTCTCTCTCTCTCTCTCTCTCTCACTGCTTCTCTCTCTGGCTCTCCTCTCTCACTCTCTCCGCGAGCCAAGAGCTTCCACAATCCAATCACTTATGATTTCCTTGTTCAGCATTTGGAAACGTTCCAATAAACGCAGCCCGGGGCAACAGCTCAATAATTAAACTTACTGGGTCAGCACACAGCCAGCGTGAGCGTGCGTGTGTGTGTGTGTGAGAGTGTGTGAGTGCACAAGAGTGTGAGTGTGTACAAGAGTGTGTGAGTTTCTGTACGTGCATGTGTGTGCGCACCAGTGCGTGTGTGTGTTTGTGCATGTGTGTGCGCGCATACAAGTGTGTGTGTGTGTGTGTGTGTGAGTGCGTGGTTGGTGCAATCACTTTATATCAAAGTGGTCGAGCCTTCAACCTCTCTGACCCCATCCTGTGGCTCTCCATCCCACAGTCCCTCCGTCTCTCTCCCTCCCTCCCTCGCCTCCTGCAAGGCCCGTCTCAAGACCCTCCTCTTCGACCTCCTCCCCTGGCTCGGTGTCAGGCTCCGCCAAAGTTAAACTGTCCGAGACGCCGCCACACCTCAATGCAAGTTGATAACAATCCACGACTGTTTGTGGGGACGTCGCTGTGCGCAAGTGGCTGCCGCGTTTCGCCCACAAAACACACAGTCTCTACACTTTATGGTTACATACTGTGAAGCGCTCTCAAAGACGTGATCAGGCGCTGTATCAAATGCAAGGATTACTATTATTATTGATAATAAGGTCCGAGAAGAAACTGAACCCCATTTCCCCCCATTGCACCTCTCCACCCCCCGCCTCGCTCCCCATCTCACCCTCTCCCGGTTGAGGTCTCTCTCCTGGTCAGGTGGGAATGTCCGGCATTTCTCCGGGTGGATGCGGAGAGTCCATTACAGATGGCGAGGCGGCCTGGCAGGGACGACACACAGTGCGAAGCTGCCACGGAGAGAGAGAGAGATTTCATATAGAGATATAATCGGCTGCCGCGTTTCGCCCACAAAACACACAGTCACTACACTTTACAGTGCCTCCTGTGAAGCGCTTTGAGACGTCTCGATGACGTGATCAGGCGCCGGGTCAGACACCAGGATTGAGATGTTGGTGACGATGGTGATAATAATAACAAGTGTGACCCAACCCCTCAGCACACAGGATACACTGTAAACAACAACAACAAGATTGCATTTATAGAGCGCCTTTCACGTCGGGATGAGGTCCCAAGGCGCTGGACAGTTGGGTCGGGACCCGAGCATTGGGGGGAAATGGTCAGGGGGAGGGAAGGGAGGGGGCGAGGAGGGGGAAATGGTCAGGGGAAGCGGAGGGAAGGGAGGGGGCGAGGAGGGGGAAGAGAGTCGAGAGGGAGCTGAAGGCACAGTCAAAAAGAAAGGTCTTGAGACCGGCCTTGAAGGAGGAAAGGGAGAAAGGGGCGAAGGCACTGGGGATAGAGTTCCACAGCCTCGGGGCTGAGAGGCTGAAGGCCACTGATGGTCGGGCGGTTGGGGCGGGGGATGTGGAGCAGACCGGAGCCAGAGGGACGGATGGTACGGGGGGGTACGTGGGGGGATAGTAGGTCAGAGAGGTAGGAGGGAGTGAGGCCGTGAATGGCCTTGTAGGTGAGGATGAGGATCTTGAACTCGATCCTCTGGGGGATGGGGAGCAGTGGAGGCGAGCGAGGGTGAGGGTGAAGGTGAGGGCGAGGGCGAGGGTGATGTGGTCGCGGTGTCTGGTGCGGGTCAGTACACGAGCTGCAGAGTTCTGGATGACCTGCAGTGTGGAGGGAGGGCCGGGAAGGCCGACGAGGAGAGCGTTCCCATAGTCCGGCCTTGAGGTGATAAAGGTGTGGACCAGAGTTTCAGCCGCGTGAGGGGTGAGGTAGTGCCGTAGTCTGCGATGTTCTGGAGGTGATGGAAGGCGGTGCCAGTTGTGGCGCAGATATGAGGGAGAAAGGGTCGAGGGGAACCCTGAGATTCCTGATGTCTTTGAGAGGTGGAGAGTGCGGCCTTGGATGCTGATGGTGTCGGCGCCTGAGGTGCGGAGACGCTGACGTGAGCCGATCAGGAGGGCCTCAGTTTTGCGCCCGTTGAGCTGAAGTTGTCTCTCTAAAGTGTAGTGACTGTGTATTTTTTTTGTGGGCAAAATACAGCAGCCAATTGCACCCAACGACGTCCCCACAAACAGTTGTGGTTTGAGCGACCAAATTATTATTTTGTTTTAAAAGGATTATTACCGGCCAAGTGCGAGGAAGTCATGGACTTCTTTTCATCTAAAATACACAACATCCGCCAGGCAGCCTCATCCACCTGCCTCTTGTTACCCACTACCACACCCTCTCTGTCCCCCTCACCCTCCCCATCATCTGTTCCTACCACCACCCCCATCCTACATTCCTTCCTCCCCATCTCTCCCTCCTCCCTCTCACCCACCATCACCTCCATGAAACCCACCACCTGCCGCCTCGACCCCCTCTCACCAACTTGCTGGTCACCCAGCTCCCCCTCCTCTGCCCACTCATCAATCAGTCCCTGCCCCCCTCAAAACTGCTGTCATCACCCCCCTCCTCAAAAAACCTTCACTAGATCCCTCAAACCCCAGCCACTGCCGTTCTATTTCAAACCTGCCCTTCCTCGCCAAAGTCCTAGACCGCGTTGTTGCCAATCAACTCCGCGCACACCTCTCCTCCCACTCCCTCTTTGAACCCCTCCAGTCCGGTTTCCGCCCACAGTACAGAGACTGCGCTTGTGAAAGTCTCAAACGACATCCTCTCTATCTGTGACCGGGGCTCCCTCTGTCTCCTTGTCCTTCTGGACCTCTCCGCCGCTTTCGACACAGTCTATCAGGCCATCCTCCTCCACCGCCTTTCCTCCGTCGTCCACCTCAGTGTGACTGCACTCGCCCGGTTCGAGTCCTACCTCACAAACCGCCAGCAGTACATCTGCACAAATGGCTTCTCCTCCCGCTCTTACCCGGTCATCTGCGGGTACCCCAAGGATCCATCCTTGGCCCCTTCCTCCTCCTCATGCTCCCTCTTGGGGATGTCATCCGCAGACATGGCGTACATTTCCACATGTATGCAGACAACACCCAACATTTTTCCACCTCGCTTTGCACCCCCCAGTTCCTCCTCTACTCTCAACTCCACGACCACCGATGTCCTGACAGCTGCCTGTCCGACATCGAGTCCTGGACAAGAGACAACTTTCTTCAGCTCAACGTACGCAAAACTGAGGCCCTCCTGATTGGCTCACGTCAGCGCCTCCGCACCTCAGGCGCTGACACCATCAGCATCCAAGGCTGCACTCTCCACCTCTCAAAGCCATCAGGAACCTCGGGGTTCTGTTCGACCCTGAGCTGTCCTTTCTCCCTCACATCCGCACCACAACTGGCACCGCCTTCCATCACCTCCGGAACATCGCCAGACTACGGCATTACCTCACCCCTCACGCGGCTGAAACCCTGGTCCACGCCTTTGTCACCTCAAGGCTGGACTATGGGAACTCTCTCCTCGTCGGCCTTCCCGCCACCTCCCTCCACACTGCAGGTCATTCAGAACTCTGCAGCTCGTGTACTGTCCCGCACCAGACACCGCGCCCACATCACTCCCACCCTCACCCTCGCCCTCGCTCGCCTCCACTGGCTCCCCATCCCCCAGAGGATTGCTTTCAAGATCCTCATCCTCACCTACAAGGCCATTCACGGCCTCGCTCCCTCCTACCTCTCCAACCTACTATCCCCCTACCTACCTGCCCGTACCCTCCGTTCCTCTGGCTCTGGTCTGCTCCACGTCCCCCGCCCCAACCACCCTACCATCGGTGGTCGGGCCTTCAGCCTCTCAGCCCCGAGGCTCTGGAACTCCATCCCCAGTGCCTTCGCCGCTTCCTCCCTTTCCTCCTTCAAGGCTGGTCTCAAAACCTTTCTCTTTGACCGTGCCTTCAGCTCCCTCTCGACTCTCTTCCCCCTCCTCGCTCCCTCCCTTCCCTCCCCTCACCCTGACCATTTCCCGCCTCCTCGCTCCCTCCCTTCCCTCCCTCACCCTGACCATTTCCCCCCTCCTCGCTCCCTCCCTTCCCTCCCCTCACCCTGACCATTTCCCCCCCTGCTCGGATCATGACCCAACTGTGCAGCGCCTTGGGACGTCCTCCTGACGTGAAAGGCGCTTTATAAATGGAATCTTGTTGTTGTTGTTGTTGTTGATGTTCTGCCTGTCAGACCTCAGGGGATGGATGAGCGCAAACTTCCTTCAGCTGAACGTTGACAAGACGGAAGCCATACTCTTTGGCTCTCGTCAACGTCTAAAATCTCACGGTTTCTCACCTCCTCCACCTACCCGACCTCCCCCTAAAACTCTCCGAACCTGTACGCAACCGCGGCGTCAGCTTGGACCCCCAATTATCCTTCCTCCCCCACATCCGGTCCCTCACCAGCACCGCTTTCTTCCACCTCCAATGCATCGTCCGTCTCCGACAATACCTCACTTCAAAAGCCACTGAAACCCTGGTCCAGGCCTTGTCACCTCTCAGCTGCACTACTCCAATGCCCTCCTCCTCCCCTCCACCACCATCCGTAAAATCCAAATCATTCAAAACTCTGCGCCCACATTCTCACCCGCACCAATTCCGCTCCCCGATCCCCCCAGTCCTGGCCCTCCACCCCACCCCCAAACCCCGCTCCCCCCAGTCCTGGTCAGACTGCACTGGCTCCTGTCCCAGAGAGGATCGACTTCAAGATCCTCACCTTTGTATTCAAGTCCCTGCACTCCTCTGCACCCCCCGACCTCTCTGACCTCCTCTCTCCTCGTTGCCTTTGTTCCTCCGGGTCTGGCCTCCTCCTCGTCCCCCGAGTCCTCCGCTTCACCCTCGGCGGCCATGCCTTCAGCCACTACGCCCCGAAGCTCTGGAACTCCTTTCCCCTCGCCCCTCTCTTCCTATTTTCAGGTCTCTGCTGAAGACCTTTCTTCTCGATAGCGCCTTTGGTCACCTAACAAGCGGGTTCCTACTTACTGAGGTGTCTGTGTGGGTGGGTGGGGGGCAGGGGTGGTGGGGGAGTAAGGAAACTTGCCTAAGGTTTCGCTCTGACCTGACCCACCTGGGAATCGAACCCAAGTCCTCTGGCTCGCGAGGCGAGGGGTCTAACCCCTGAGCTACAGGGGCTGTGGGGTGCGAGGCGAGGGGTCTAACCCCTGAGCTACAGGGGCTGTGGGGTGTGAGGCGAGGGGTCTAACCCCTGAGCTACAGGGACTGTGGGGTGTGAGGAGGGGTCTAACCCTTGAGCTACAGGGGCTGTGGGGTGTGAGGCGAGGGGTCTAACCCCTGAGCTACAGGGGCTGTGGGGTGTGAGGAGGAGTCTAACCCCTGAGCTACAGGGGCTGTGGGGTGCGAGGGGAGGGGTCTAACCCATGAGCTACAGGGACTGTGGGGTGCGAGGGGAGGGGTCTAACCCATGAGCTTCAGGACTCCTGATGGTGATGATGATGGTGATGATGAAGGTACCTCTGGTGGGAGTTTTCTTGCCGAGGGCGGCACACTGCTCCTCGGTGACAGTCAGACGCCTGACCACATCGGCCAGGGCGGCCCTCAGCACCTGGATCTCGTCCTCCTGCAGGTGCAGCCGCTGCTCCAGATAAGAGATTCGGTCGTCAACATCTCCATCGGGGCTGCTGGTCAGTGACACGCTCTCCTCTGTCAACATCATCATCATCACCCTCATCATCATAATCATCAACACCATCATCATCACCACCATCATCATCAACATCATCGTTATCACCCTCATCATCACCAACATCATCATCACCCTCACCATCACCACCATCATCATAATCATCAACATCACCCTCATCATCATCATCACCATCACCACCATCATCCTCACCCTCATTATCAACATCATCACCGACACCACCATCATCATCATCACCACCACCACCACCATCATAATCATCATCACCATCATTCATCATCACCATCAACATCATTAACATCATCATTCATCATCATCGCCACCATCATCATCATTATCATCATCATCTCCATCAGGGCTGCTGGTCAGTGACATGCTCTTTCCTGTCAATATCAAGACACACACACACACTGTCCTCTGTCAACAACAAGTTCAACAACAAGACACACATAACGTCACAACAACAGCGTCTCTGACAAGTGTCTCCCCCCACCCCAGCACTGCAGAGTCAGCCTCGACTGTGAGCTCCAAGTCCTTCAAAACCCACCACTTCCTGACTTTGAGGTGAGAGGGTGAGTGACTGAGCCACGGGCTGAGACATCAGGACAACAGGAAGGGTTAAGTGGCTCAGGGACATTCTGTCACATCAGTTGCTGATCAGTCATATAGGGGAAGATTCCCCGGGGAACTGAAACTGGCGAGGATCGATGCAGTCACAAGATCGATGAGTGAGGAGAATTGAAGGTCTGGCAATGTTCCAAGAACTCACCAGTTCCAATCAGCAGATTTATTATTTACTGTGTAAATCTTTCCTCAAATCCCAGCTTGTGGAGTCCCTGTAGCTCAGGGGTTAGACCCCTCCCCTCGCACCCCACAGCCCCTGTAGCTCAGGGGTTAGACCCCTCGCCCCCACCCCACAGCCCCTGTAGCTCAGGGGTTAGACCCCTCGCCTCACACCCCACAGCCCCTGTAGCTCAGGGGTTAGACCCCTCGCACCCCACAGCCCCTGTAGCTTAGGGGTTAGACCCCTCGCCTCGCACCCCAGCCCCTTTAGCTCAGGGGTTAGACCCCTCGCCTCGCACCCCACAGCCCCTGTAGCTCAGGGGTTAGACCCTCGCCCCCCATCCCACAGCCCCTGTAGCTCAGGTGGTAGACCCCTCGCCTCGCACCCCACAGCCCCTGTAGCTCAGGGGTTAGACCCCTCGCCTCGCACCCCACAGCCCCTGTAGCTCAGGGGTTAGACCCCTCGCCTCACAAGCCAGAGGACCCGGGTTTGATTCCCGGGCGGGTCAGGTCAGGGCGAAACCTTAGGCAAGTTTCCTTACTCCCCCGCCGCCACACACACACACACACAGACACCTCAGTAAGTAGGAACCCGCTTGTTAGTGTATTCAGTGAAGCTTTGAGACATCCGTTCATGGTGATAGGACAGGACACATTGTTGACCAAAATAAATGCCCAAGGCAATCCTTGTGTACATTTTCTATTTGTCAGGTGTGTAAAGTGCTCTCTCTCTACTCCCTCCCCGGAGGGACACATCCTGTTCACCTAATTCTGGAGAGTATTGGGTGCAGTTGGCGAGAGCCAAGGCTTGCGGGGGTGGGGGAGCCCAGAGTGTGCGTTGGGGTAACTGCTGGAATCTAACCGGCTAAACCCACACACAGGTCGGCCATTGATAATAATAATCCTGGCATTTGATACAGAGTCTTATCACGTCTTCGAGACATCTCAAAGCGCTTCACAGGATATATTGATATCACTATCTGGCAAGCTTTCCTGCTGTTTGGCCAACTAGGACAACCTTATCATGAGGGCTTTGGCCTTACAGGATTACAGGAGCTGAGGGGGAGGATTCCCTGCCCTCAGTGACTGGTCGGCCCTTCCAGGTCCTGCCAATGAGCCGGGCCGGACTGCCATCAGCAGTGAGTGCCCCGGGACACTGCGGCCCCTCCTGGCTCAGGAACCGGGACTAGAGACCGGCACAGAGGGGGGGGCTCGATTCTGACATTCCACTGCCAGACTCGTCACCTTGGGGCCAGTTGAAAGAGAGAAATAAATTATTATTAATATCACCAAGAGCTTTCTCGATTGCTTTGATCGGTTCATTGATTGACAGGTGCCTGTCAGCGCAGGTAAAAGACTCGGGAGAGAAATTACACAAAAGCTGAAACAGCACCAATTTACCCCAGAGCATTTTAGACAAAGTTATATAATAATCCTTGCATTTGGTACAGCGCCTTATCACATCATCGTGGACGACTCAAAGAGCTTCACAGAATATACCATAAAGCGTAGTAACTCTGTATTTGTATGGGCGAAACGCGGCAGCCAATTGCGCACAATTTTCCCACAAACAGTGGTAGATTGAGTGACCAAATTATTATTATTTTTGGTAACACATGAACACGCCGATGCTCTCCTCCGCACTTCAAACCTCCAGGGACTGTCTGTCAAAGGTTGTATGAAATAAACAATGACATTTAAGTCATCCGTCGCATGAGAGAGAGAGAGAGAGGAGAGGGGTTTACACAGAGAGTAGACATTCCTTACGCCTCTCTCTCTCTCTTGGAACCATGAACCTTTCAAGAGCGCGTACTTACCAGTACAGAACTGCAGGAGAGAGCTGGTATCATAGAGTCCGACTAAGGCTGCCATTCTCTCAGTCATCACCCCCCCCTCTACCCCCTTTAACTCTCTGATCTTCCCAGTTTCCTCCGCAAATAAAGAGAAAAATCACACACACACACAAAAGCCTTTCGCTCTTTCCTGCACGCGCTCTCGTCCCCCCCCCACCCCCGTCTCTCTCTCTCTCTCCCTTATTTCCACTTTCTCAAGCCTCCTTTCTCCAGACTCCCGTCACCATAGCAACCCTGCTCAACCCAGCTCCTTTCCATCAGGAATCATATGAATAGAGGTTAAAAAAAAAATGTCTTGCTCTCTCTGTCTGTGACTCTGCTCTCCCTGCAAAAAAAAAAAAAAAAATTCACGTTAGCATCGCTCTCATACCCTCTCTACTCAAAGCGATTCCCTGGGAGAGGATTCTTAATTAAATCCTACATTTTAAATGGGGGTCGGAGGGTTGGTCGGGGGAAATTCAGGAGTGGGGAAAAGCAGAATACATAAGTAATCGTTTAACGCTTGGCTCTCTCTCTCTCTCTCTTGATTACATCACACCTAAGCCATGATACAACCAATGCTGGTAGCAAAACTCAACCCTCTCTCGCTCTCTCACTCCGTCTGCAGGAACTCTGCACCTAAGGGGTAAATTTATACCAAGATTCAAACGTATTTCTTCACCCCCCCCCCCCCCCCACACATACACACACTATCTCTCCACCAATGGAACGTCTCTCTCTTTCGTTCTCTCCGCAAAGCAAAACCAACTGGCAAACTGACTGATGCGAAATCGGATTACACCCAAAAATGACCTGACTTGATATATATATTCTTGTGATAAGTTGCACCGAGCTATGCGTTTTATTGCCAACTGTTTGTGAAGGAGGGTAGATGTAGTCTTTTGCTAGGCTAACTGTTTCGAACACCCGGGTAAGTAATAATAATAATAAACCTCACATTTGATATCGCGCCTTATCACGTCGTCGAGACGTCTCAAAGCCTTCACAGGATACACTGTTAAGTGTAGTGACTGTGTGTTCTGTGGGCAAAACATGGCAGCCAATTGTACACAGCGATGTCCCTACAGTTATGGATTGACTAACCAAATTTTTTTTTCTATTTGAAGGATTACCCCAAAAAAGCGATCCGCCAATCGACTAACTAGCGAGGTCCCACTAATTGCTCGGCAAACAGAGGTGTGTGTGTGTGTGTGGAGTAAGGAAACTTGCCGAAGGTTGATTTTCTGTGGCAATGTTGGATACCAATAACTTCCTCACTCACTCCATCCATATTACGGAAGATGTGACACCGAACATGGTGATGGATCATTAACTGCCCTGAAAATGACGGCTCTCTCACAAATCCTCAGGACGTCTAAATACAATTGTACTGAATACAATAAAGTCAACTTCTAACTACAATTGTCATCATTCTTCCAATTTCAGTTAATAATAATCCTTGCATTTGATATAGCACTTTTCATGTCTTCTCGACGTTTCAAAGCGCTTCACAGAATAGACTGTAAAGTGAATTGACTGTATATTTGTGGGCAAAATGCTGCAGCCAATTGCGAACAGCAGCGTCTGTCCCACAAACAGTCGTGGATTGAAGTGACCAACTTTTATTTTTTTTTTCAGGGATTACTATCAGGCATGTGGACTAACGAAACTTGCCCAATGTTTCACACTGCCAGGAATCGAACCCAGGTCTCTCGCTTGAAAGGCGAGTGCTCTAACCAGAGCTACAGGACTCCAGCTGTTGGGTCAGTACTGTAGAAACAAATGTGGGCGTAACAGGACCCGTATGAGTAGGGCAGAGGTGATCGTAGGCATGGTCGATGAGGAAGGTCTTCAGGTGCGACGTGAAGATAGAAGGAAGGGGGAGGGATAGAGAGGAGGGAGCATGAAGGAGAATACCAAGACAAGCCCCAAGTCTGACACTGAGCCACCGAGATGCCTCAGCGATTGAGAGGAGTAAAATCACAGTGCACAGCCGGTTACAAAAACATTTTATTCTCAGATACAAAGTTGGAAAGCTCCAGGTGCAATGTCGGAGAGACGCTGGGTGCGTTGCTTTCTGATCAGATTTATCCCCGATATATAAAAACCAAACTCAACAAGTCAGCCATTCACATCAGACACAACTCAATCACTCAAAACACAAACAAACTCAAGCAAAAATACAGCCATGAGCTTTCACTGTTCCCCAAATCCAGTCAGACACGTGAATCCTCTGCTCCCAACTCATGGGTGTACTCGGGAGCCAGGGGACTGGGCAGGTGAGACGATTCACCTCCCCTCCCCCTGGGGTAAGGAGTGGGGTTGAGAAAATATACCCTGAGGTCAAAAATTCCTCCTACTCTTAGCCTCAGAGTCAGTTTTAATAATGATAATCCTTACATTAGGTACAGCATCTTATCAAGTTGTCGAGAAGGCTCAAAGCGCTTTACAGTGTAAAGTGGAGTGAGTGTGACCAAATTATTATTATTATTGTGAAGGGATTATTACCCCCGGAAAGCGATCCCCCAATCGACTAACAAACGGGTTCCTACTGACTTGGTAAACAGAGGCGTCTGTGTGTGTGTGTGTGTGTGTGTGGAATAAGGAAACTTGCCTAAGGTTTCGCCCTGACCTGACCCGCTTGGGAGTCGAACCCAGGTCCTCTCGCTTGTTTGTATTCCTGAAGTCTAGAGCGAGTAACTTGATGACGGAATCCAAGGAGATGGTCACACACAGTGTGGGGGTTAGCAGTTCATCTGGTGGGGAGAGGGAGGTAGGCAACAGGGAGACACAAACTTGAACACAGGTCTCCTCACCTGACACTTACCTGGAGCGTCAGAACCTCGAGAGGCAACGAATGAACGAACGAACGAGCCATTGAATCGGGACTAAAACACACGGATTGGGTTGGGAGGAGGGGGTGTAGGAAGAGCCCACTCCAAACATTGCTGTGAACAAACCAGCGATCGGGCGAGAAGGGGCTTTATTTCTTAGCGAAGGAGATCTTCATGGCGTTGGACTGCGTGATCTTAAACCCTTGCAGTGCGTCTCGCGCAGCGCCCGCCTGCACCTCGTTGTCAAACTCCACAAAGGCGATGTCATGCCGGCCAGGGACCAACCGCACTTCCTTGAATCCCGGGAACCTGGAGCGGGAAGTTTGAGAGATCAGCGAGACTATAATACTATAATACTTACATTTGGTACACCGCGTTACCATGTCGAGACATCTCAAAGAGCTTCACTGTGACTGTGTTTTTTTGTGGGTGAAACACACACAGCAGCGTCCCACAGCAGCGTCCCACAAACAGCCGTGGATTGTGTGACCATATTTTTGAAGGGATAATTACCTCTGGAAAGCAATCCACCAATCAACCATTAAGGTCTGGTTTCTGATTATGTGGCAAGGACCTGGAAGGGCAGACCAGACACTGGGGGCAGGGAATCCACCCACTCAGCTCGTTGACCCTTTCTCTCTCTCTGTCCGAGTCATCGCAACATTACACAAGCACAGGTTTTACTAACGCTGACATAGGAGAGTCACGGCTCGAATGCTAATTGCAGCCTCTGTGTCTCACGCACATACGCACCACTTTGGCCGTCGCTCATTCTGAATGACCTTGCAGTGGGAAATCAGGCTGATCAGAGACTGAGTTGGTAAAAGCTAACCTGTAATACTGAACTCACTGTGCAGGACAGAAATAACAACTTGTGTTTACACAGCGCCCCTCACACGGAGTAGCATCCCAGAGCACTTGACAGTGGTGGGGCATGACGCCGAGCCGGGGGGGGGAAGAAAGGTGACCGTAGGCTCAGTCGAAGAGGAAGGTCTTCAGTCGTGAGGGGAAGGGGGCAAGGCAGAGGGATTGGGGGAGGGAGAGAGTTCCAAAGCTTCGGGGCATAGTGGCTGAAAGCACTCACTGGCTCGCTTATTAACTCCCCCCAAAGTTTTAACTTTCCCCCCAGTGAAGGGGGGATAACAAGGAGAGGAATGAGTTTTTTTTTTGAGACTATTACACAGCGCCCCCCTCCCCACCACCACCACCACATTCTACTTACTGGTTGAAGAGCATGGACAGCATCAACTCATTGGTCTCCTCAGGCAGGTTGGTTAAGAACAGGATGTGATTTGGTGGATTCTCAGGCACCTGTCGACACAGTCGATCACTGTTAACAGCAGCCCAGACTCCCTGTCACACACACACTCACTCACAGACACCTCCCCGTTCACACCTCTCTTCTCTTCACTCCCCGTCACACACAGGACACCTCTCGTCTTCACCACCGTCTCACACACACACACACACATCTCTAAACATCCCTCCCACCCCCCCCATACATTTCGCTCACTCACCGTCTGTGCAGGAGGTCCCATCTGCCCCGGCATCATCTGTCCAGGGCCAAGACCACCTGGGGGCATCTGCCCGGGTCCCATCCCTGGAGGAGGCATCATCCCAGGCGGGGGCATGTAGGGTGGCTGTCCTGGCATTGGCATCATGCGGGGAGCCTGGTTCATGGGTGGCATGCCCTGGGGAGGAGAGGAAACGTCAATCAAGCAGAAAACTGGCTCTCACCGCCAGGGCAAGGCTAGGTTAAAACCACCCGGATTACTAATCTCTGACTGTCCAGCACCTTGGGACATCCCCCTGATGTGAAAGGTGCTGTGTAAGTGTCATGTGTTGTGTTAAAGCTATTTTTATAACAACGTCTGCCTTTAATAATAATCCTTGCATTTGATACAGCGCCTTATTATGTCTTTGAGACGTCTCAAAGCACTTCACAGGATACACTGTAAAGTGATTTTTTATTACATTATTACAGCCACTCTCTCCCTCCGTCTTGTCCCCCTTCCTTCCCCAACTTCAGGTCGTGCCTAAAGACCTTCACCTTTGACCATGAATGCAGTCACCTCTCCCCTCCCCTGGCTCGGCGTCCTGCTCCGCCACTGTCAAGCGCTCTGGGCCGCTACACTGCATGAGGGGTGCTGTGTAAAGGCACGTTGATACTGTTGCACACTCCGCATCTCTCCCCCATCCCCTCCCTCACTCGCTCTCCCCCGGCTACCTGGTTCTGGATGGCATTTGCCGTCTGGCCCACTCCAGGGACCTTCTTGTTGACGGTAACTTCTGGAACCTTCACCTTCCTCTTCTCCTTCTTGCGATCCCGCTCCACGTACGTCCCCTTCATCTTGGCGATGATGTCGGAATCTCCCTTGGCATACTGGATCCTCTGCCGGACACACAGAGAGGGCGAGAAGCCTGTTACAATAATAATAATCCTTACATTTGATATAGTGCCTAGTGACGTCTTCAAGATGTCTCAAAGCGCTTCTCAGGATATACTGGAAAGTGAATTGACTATATATTTTGTGGGTGAATATACAAGAAAAATATTACATTTACACAGCGCCTTTCATGTCGGGAGGACGTCCCAAGGCGCTGGACAGTCAGCTGATATTTAGAAGGAACGAACCATGGGTTTGTCGTAAAAGGGGAAGCCCTGCATGGAGCGCAGGGCGTTGGTGGCGCTGTTGACTTCTTTGAAGATGACAAAGGCCTGTCCCCGCATCTTCAGGTTCCTGGACACCAGGATGTCCAGAATCTGGCCAAACTGGGAGAAGATGGCGTAGAGAGACTTCTTCAGCTCTGTACAGGGAGAAAGGAAGACAGACGCACGTTACACATGGAGAGGTTAGCTGGCCTGCTTGGGGATTTAACACTGGAGAGAGGGAGAGAGACAGAGAGAAAGAGACAGATATATTTATGTAATACTTGCATTTGATGTAGCGCTTTTCACATCTTCAAGACGCTTCAAAGGATATACTGTAAAGTGTAGTGACTGTGATTATTATCAGGGGGGTGTGTGGAGTAAGGAAACTTGCCCAAAGTTTTGCTCTGCCGGGAATCGAACCCAGGTCTCTCTGCTTGCGAGGCGAGCGAGCGCTCTAACCACTGAGCTACAGGACTCCTACAAAAAAAAATTTAGGAGAAAGTGACAGAGAGAAAAAGAGAGTGGACAAATTACATTCCGATAATAATCCTTGCATTTGATACAGAGCCTCATCACGTCTTTGAGACGCCTCAGAGTGCTTCACAGGATGCACTGTAACGTGAATTCTCTCTCTCTTTTTTTCTGTATATTTTTCTGTTTTGTCTGTCACTTTCTCTCTCTCTATATATACATAATCTTTCTCTCTATCCCTTTCTCTGTCTGTCTCCATCTCTTTCTCTATATATATCATCTCTCTCTCTATGTACATATATATCATCTGTGTGTGTGTATATATATATATCATCTCTCTCTATGTATACATATATATCATCTCTCTATGTATACATATATATCTCTCTATGTACATATATATCATCTCTCTATGTATACATATATCATCTCTCTATGTACATATATATCATCTCTCTATGTACATATATATCATCTCTCTCTATATATACATATATATAATCTCTCTCTATATATATATATCTCTCTCTCTCTCCCACATACCATCCTTCTTGATCTTCTCGTTCAGGTTGTTGATGTAGATGGTGTGATTCGGGCGACTATCAGACGACATCGTTTCCTGTCAGCGCCGACCCTGCAGAGCACAACACAGACCATCAGCATCACCACCAGCGGCCTGGCGCCAACTCCGGAGCCGAGGCCCGAGGGCCACCCGCGGTCATTCTCGGCTCGAACAATAAAAACAGCGCCGATGGATGGAAATATGGGGCCTCAACGATACCCGGGATCCCGCGCTACAATACCCACCAGCCGGATTGGACCGATGGCGCCGGTGTCCCGAGGATGGCGACAGATTGTCCGCAGCCTTGAGTCGCGCTTCGTCTTGACAACCAGTCTTCCCGCCACCGGAAATAGCGCGACGCCACAAGCGCTTCTCGGCCGCCGATTGGCCAACCCCGTTGTCTGTCAAACCTAGTGGACCAAATCCACGCCCCCTCCACCCCTGCTCGTCAAGCCTTCGCTCCCGCCCTTCAGCGAAGCTGATTGGAGCAAAATCTGTGACCCAGACTTGATTGGTCCATTGCAATGCCAAGCAATCACAGTGCCGCCCCAGCCCCACAAGCAGGGAGTCTGATTGGCCACCCCTGCCGTCTGTCAAACCCACGACCAAATCAGCGTGCCCTCACGCCTGCTGGTCCCGCCTTTGCTCCCGCTCCTTAGCTTGCCTGATTGGCGCAATCCAACGCGACGGACCAGACATGATTGGTCCATTGCACTGTCAATCAATAGCCGCGAGTCCCCGCCCCTTAGTGAGCCTGATTGGTGCAAATGACGACGAAAGACCAGACCTGATTGGCCACTTTTAGTGTCAATCAATCAGCCCTCCCCCACCCACTCCTTTCCAGCCGAGGGGCGGGGTGGTGGGGGGGGGAAGGTATTCCTGGTTGCACCCATACACAGCAACGCTGAGGGTCATATTCCGTTGTGTGTGCAGCAGCAAACAGCTTCCCCGCCCTCCAGGCATGTTTGTGATTAACGTTTTTTTTTGCTCTGGAATTGGATGGAATTAGTAATGTGCTTCTTCTCTTGGTTCAGTTACAAGCCACAAGGTGTTTGCTTCAAAGGGGGGAGTTTGGGCCACACCTGTCCGGCAGGGTTTACGCTGCGTCTGGGGGCGCTCTTAACTAATGATTACTAATTGATAATAATCCTGACATCTGTTATTGCGCCCGATCGCGTCGTCGAGACGTCTCAAATCGCTTGCTTCGTGGGCGATGCTGTGAGGCGTTGTGACCGTAAGTTTTGTGGGAGTAACGCGGCAGCCAATTGCACACAGCAGTGGTCCCACAAACGCCGGATTGAGTGACCACATTTTTGGGAGGGGGTGGATTATTACCCCCGGAAAGCGATCCGCCAATCGACCAACAACAGCTCGTGTGCACGTTAACGTTTGCCATCCGGTCTCTGTGTATACGGTGATGGGTTTCCACACGTCAAGACGTCCTGCCGACCAAATAGAAAGTACACCGTCACTACACCAATTCCCTTCTAACCATTTTGAGACATCAAAGGTGCTCTAACAAATGTAAGGATTATTAATGAGTTGGAACTAAATGGAGCCATAATTCATTCTTTTTTTTATTTTTGCTCACAGGAATGACAAACAGGAGTTGACTGAGTCAGAGAAACACAAGACAGATTGTATCTTAAGAGCCAGTGGAACAGAGGATAGAGTCGTGATTGGGTTAACCATTAAATAAATCCCTAAAATGTCAGAGGTCCTTGATGAAGGTTCCGGGGAGCCGAAGGTTGGTTGCTCCAAACTGGCTCAATGTTCGTCCCTTCTAGTCACGTCTCTGATCCCACCACCCCCTCCACCATTGCCCTCATCTCCCTCTGTGCATCCAAAGAAGAAGTTGTACCAGGCTCTGGCTCAAGGTCGAGAGGCTGTGGTTGGAGACAGAGAAGAGGTGAAGATGATCCTCCAGAACAGACAAATCAGGTATAGTCTTACCCCGGGTCTAGGTCTCATGTTCCATCTCGTCTGGCCTTTGGGATAATAGTCTCGGCTGATGCTCCAGCGCAGTGCTGAGGGGTGAGGACACTGCATTGTCTCGTAGCTCGGAGTGCTGTAGCGTAGAGGTCAGCACACTCGCCTCGCAAAGTTCAATTCCCGGGCGGGTCAGGGCAAAGCTTTAGGCAAGTTTCCTTACTCCGCACGTCTGTTTACCTAGCAGTAAGTAGTAACTCGCTTATTAATCGATTGGTGGATCGCTTTCTGGGGGTAATAATCCCTCCAAAATCCACTTTTTGTGATATACTCCTGTGCTCATTTGGCTGCCGTGTTTCACCCACAACATACAGTATATTCTGTAAAGCGCTAATAGACATCTCAACGACGTGATAAGGGAATGTTTGAAATGCAAGGATTATCATTTTATTATTATTAGAATCACAAGCCTCTGACGTCCTCCTTTTCTCTCTCAGTAGCAGAAAAGGATTGAAATGGCTGCTCATCAACAAGTTCATCCCCTCCTTGATCCAAGATGGCCCTCAGTGAGTATCAGAATTGTGCAGCTTCTGAAAATAGTCTCCTAGGCCGAGAGTAGGTGGAATTTCAGGGCTCAGGTTGCAAGAAGGAAGTGAGTGGAAGGTAACAACAGCAGCAACGCATTATTTACACATCACCTTTCACATCGGGAGGACGTCCCAAGGCGCTGGATAGTCACAGATTTGAACCCGAGCTGGGGGTTGGGATCAGGAGGGAGTGGGGGTAGTAGGGTGACTGAAGGTGTGGTTGGTCGAAGAGGAACGATAACAACATTACATTTGTATAGTACCTTTCACATCGGGAGGACATCCCAAAGTGCTGAAAGGAAGGTCTTGAGACGGGCCTTGAAGGAGGCAAGGGAGGGAGCGAGGCGAGGGACTGTGGGATGGAATTCCAAAGGGTGGATGCAGAGAGGCTGAAGGCTCGATGGTGGGGTGGGTCGGGCAGGGGACATGGAACAGGCTTAGACCTCTGGGTGTGTGTTGTCAGGTGTGGGTTGGTGGCACTGAGGATGGCTGGACACTTGCTGGACCCCCACAGAGCTGTGAGTCTGGACGAGATGGTCAGTCTGGCTGTGGCCAGAGGCTACACTGTTCAAGGCGAGATGTTCTCAGGTAAATCTCAACAACAACTTGCATTTACACAGCGCATTTCACACGGGGTAGCGTCCCGAAGTGCTTAACAGTGGTGGAGTCTGACCCCAAGGCAGCGGGAGACAGAGCGGGGCGATGACCATAAGCACGATCAAAAAGCACGGTCTCTCCTGCTTCACACACACACACACACATGCGTCCAGCTACTCTCCATTCTGCCATTCTATAAGATCATGGCTGATCTGTACTTCAACTCTAATCACCCACCTTTGCCCCATATCCCTTGATACCCTGACCTGTCCATTCAATCTGGACAACATGAATAGTTCCAGACATAATCCACAGCCCTCTGGGGAAGCGAGGGAGAGTTCCAGATTCCACTAACCTTTTGTGTGTGTGTATGTGTGAAAAACTGCCTCCTGTTTTCACTCCTAATTGGCCTTGCTCCAATTTTAAGATGATTTCAAGAGAAGAGTTACAGAGAGAGTTTCTCTGTATCTAACCCTATTGAATCTTTATCATATGATGTGTTTGTTCCTCTGCAGCTATTGACATGAAGAGCCTCGCTGAGGAGCTGTATCCATGCCAGGGACACCTCCTCACTGAAGGCTTAGCGGGCAGCAACAGAACCATCATCATCAACCACCTAGTGAACGGCTATCCCGTATTGCTACCGTATCCTTGTCACGTAGAAACAGGAGGATGCCATTCAGTCCCTTGAGCCTATTCCTGTTGTTGTTCTGTTGTGTCTCTCTCCCTGTGTAATACACGTAGTCCAGTGACTCCTTAACTGGAGGCAGATATGACGAGGATTTCAATCATGAACCTTGCCAGCGAGGTGGACACAGAGCTCACTGGGCAGCGGTTTCAGGTGGGACCTCATTGCCTTTCCCTGGGAAACTCCATCCTACAGACCCTCCTTCTCGCTCTCCCCCCCCCCCTCCCCCCCACTTCCTTCAAGACCCTCTCTTCAACCAACCGTGACTCATGTCACTCTCCCTGTTCTCTACCCCTCCTGATTCCAAACCCCGCTTGGGCTCAAATTCCTGACTATCCAGCGCCTTGGGACGTCCTCCCTATGTGAAAGACGCTGTGTAAATATCATTTGTTGTTGTTTTGTGTAGAGATTGTCCCGTGGAGATTTTTTTTTTGCCCCACCGGGTGTCTGAAACTCGCGGAAATCCATCACCATGCCTAAGAGTCAACAGAGAATTCCCCACATCCCACTTACACGTAGAAATTCCAGAGATAGATTGTCGGAATGGAATACGCTCTCTCACTTTCTGTCTCTCTCTCTCTCTCTCTCCCTGGAGGGACACCTCCTGCTTACCTAATTCTGGAGAGTATCAGGCGCAGGCTGGCGGGAGCCAAGACTTGTGGGGAGCCCGGAGTGTGCACTGGGGTAACTGCTGGAGTCTAACTAGCTAAACCCACAAACCATTGACCAAGTTGCTGCTGTTGTTGTCTAGGGGTGCTGCTGGGGATGGAGAGAGAACTCAGTAAGAGCGGTTACAAGGAGGATGTTGATGTCCCCGGCCTTTTCCACCCGGACACGATCTCCGTAGAAGCTGGTTACCCCGGGGACTCGGTGATCGAGACCCATCTGCTGGCAAAGCAGGGCAAGAGTCTGAGGTACCAGATGTGGGAGTATCAGAGGGTTCTCGAGAGCAACGCTCAGCTGAGGGAGTTTGACCCCAAACGAGCGACTGATGGAACTGCCTATGTGGTGCCCAAGGGTGGGGTGCAATCGGGACTGTGTGGGAATGTCCTGCTCCTGGTGCCGCTGTCCCTCCCTCACCCCCCACTCAGGACTTGAGCTCATAATCCAGGCTAACGCGCCAACACAACATGAGAACTGCTAGACGGAAGAATGTGTCAGATGTCTTGTCAGATGCCTGGTTGACCTCCCAAAAAACAAACACGGGAGCTCTCCCAATTTGCCTCAAAGCTTGTCGGTACTCAGATTTCTCCCACAAAACACAGACACTACACTTTATAGTGTATCCTGTGAAGCGCTTTGAGAAGTCTTGACGACGTGATAAGGCGCTGTATAAAATACAAGTATTATTATTTGTAACGATTAAAGAACATTAAGAATTTTATGGACGAAAAAAGGCCAAGATCCATCCAGTTCGCCTTCCAGCATCCCGGCAGTCGCTTGCTTGCACATGTCGTGTCCCAAACTACATACTGTATCCCTAGATATTATTTTCAAACAGAAATCTATCTTGTTTGCCTTTGAAAGAATCAACTCTTTCTGCTTCCACCGTCTATCTGTCTCCCTTGGGAGTCTGTTCCATGCATTTATGACTCGTTCACTGAAGTATATTTGTACGTGTGTGTCTGGAGTAAGGAAACTTGCCTAAGGTTCAGCTCTGACCCATCGGGGAATCGAACCCAGGTCCTCTAGCTTGCGAGGTGAGTGCTCTAACCACCACACTACAGGACTAATACCAATACATCAATGGTCTCGCGACTCAGACCATGAAGAATTCGAGGGGCAATGACAAAAATCCCCTTGGATGAAGAAGACCACCGCTCACCGTGCGGTCAGGCAGACAGCAAAACCCTTCACCACACACATTGGGTGCGTATGTCTTCCGCCCATGCTTTTTAAGCATATCAAAAGCGTAACGCTTTTCACGTTTTATTTGACCAACACGGTTTATAAATAGATATCAAAAAAAACATTGGAGCACAGTATATTAAACAAGTGAGCGCAGCAGCTCGCTCATCACCCTCTTTCTGCTTGAAACGTCAGCACACAGCACAGACCGTAGCCTGTGGCTAACTTGCGGTTTAGAAGCATATGGAGGCAGTGTGGAGAGTGCAGTCGGGGTCTCCCTGCGGCTATCTGATCAAGTGGTACGTGAGCCAGTACATGAAGAGAGGCTGTATGGCCGCGATTGCCATGGTCAGGTACATGCGGAGTTGGTTCCTGGCACCTCGTACCAGCACCCCTTCAGCTGCCGCTTCCGACAGGATCTTCAGCCTCAACGTTCGGATCTGAAGGGACATTTCCCCATCAATCAATCAATATTAATGCCTCAGAACAACAACTTGCATTTACACAGCGCCCTTTATGCTAGGATAGCGTCCCACAACGCTTGACAGTAGCAGAGCACGATGCCGATCCGGGGGAGGGAGGGTGCAGGTGACTGTTGGCATGATCAAAGAGGAAGGTCTTCAGGCCTGAAGATGGGGAAGGAGGGAGGGGGCAAAGCGGAGGGATTGGGGGAAGAGAGTGACAGTAGTTTTGTGGCCTGGAGGCTGAAAGAACAGCCACCGATGGTGGAGAGGAGGGCACAAGGGACAAGCAGGAAGCCGATAGAGTGGGGGCAACGGGTGGTGGACTGGGGGAGAGACGTCAGTTTTGTTCAAAGAGTAAACGCACCATGAACACGACTATTGAGATGCAGCACCAGCCCAAAGCCACACAATATCCTGTTTTTCCAAATATCAGCCCGGCCACCACGCCCATGATCATCCTGTGGGCGAGAAATCAGATAATAATAATCCTTGCATTTGATATAACGCCTTATCACGTCATTGAGACTCTCAAAGCGCTTCACAAAATATACTTGCTCCTTCTTACTTCTGTGACCTGCTAGCTCCATGTCGACCCGTCTATTCCCTCTACTCAGGGGCTCCGGCCTGCTCCACTTTCCTCTGCCCGGCCCACACCACCACTGGTGGTCAGACCTTCAGCCTCTCTGCCACCACCCTTTGGAACTCCATCCCACAGTCCCTTCGCCTCTTTCAAGGCCCATCTCAAGACCCTCCTCCACGCCTTTGACCACCCTCCTACCCCCACCCTCCACCCATCCTGATCCTTGTACCATAAAGTGTAGTGACTGTGTATTTTGTGGATGAAACTATGTAACAAATTACACTCATGTAGCACCCTTCACGTTGAAAAGATGTCCCAGGGTCATAGAGAGTCGGGGGTTTTGGGAGTTGAGCTGGGAGTTGGTTAGAGGATACGCTGCACCCGTACCTACCCGACGTATTTGTAACCGGCAAACGCCACCAGGTCGATGGTGGTCAGATCGGTGTTGACGGTGACGAGGTAGAGGCTGAGCAGGACGGCCAACACCTCCATCACCAGCCAGACCAGGGCCGAGCTCGCCTGGATCCCCAGCACCTCCGGGGAGAACCTGGGGGGAGAAAAGAAATGGACATTGTGGAGTCCTACAGCAAAGTGGTTAGACCTCTCGCCTCCCAAAGCCAGAGGAACCGGGTTCGATTCCCGGGGAGGTCAGGTCAGGGCGAAACCTTAGGCAAGTTTCCTTATTACACACACACACACACTCTGTTTACCAGCAGTCAGTAGGGACACGTGTGTTAGTCGATTGCGGATCGCTTTCCGGGGTGGTAATCCTTTCAAAATAACAATAATAATGTCACTCAATCCACAACTGTGGGACTCTGCTGTGCAAAATTGGCTACTGCTTTTCACCCACAAAATATAAAATACTACACCTTACAGTATATTCTGTGAAGTGTTTTGAGGCGTCTTCACTTTTTTTTAAAAAAAGGCACGCTAACCACTGCGCTCCAGGACTGCAGTTATAATAAAAATAAATAATAACCCTTGCATTTGATATAGCGCTTTTCACGTCTTCTCGACATCTCAAAGCGCTTCACAGAATAGACTGTAAAGTGAATTGATGTATATTTGTGGGAGAAAAGCGGCGGCCAATTGCGCACAGCAGCGTCCCACAAACAGTCGTGGGTTGAAGTGACCAAATTATTATTATTAGTTTTTTTTCTTGAAGGATTATTATCAGCACTTGGAGTGAAGAAACTTGCCCAAGGTTTTGCCCTGTCGGGAATCGAACCCAGGTCTCTTCACTTGCAAGGCGAGTGCTCTAACCACTGAGCTACAGGACTCCACGACTCCAGTTAATGGGGAAGGAACTAGGCCCACATTCCTGCCATCAGACGCTTTGCAGGGAGAATCTCACCTGCTCTGCGTCCCGAGGGCAAGGCCGGCGACCAATAAATATGTGATGAACGCCATCGCTGGAAGAGACGAGAGAAGGAAACAGAGAGAAGAGTCACAAGAAATGAACCCTGAGACTTAGCAGTCATATTGCACAACCAGTGACGTCACCACGAAGGCATAAAGAAACGTCGTGTAGGGACTGAAAATATACTGGTACATTTTACAGGCAGTGCACAACTTCAGGCTGTACTTATTATTGACAGCCAATTCACTTTACAGTATATTCTGTGAAGCGCTTTGAGACATCTAGAAGACATGAAAAGTGCTATTTCAAATGCAAGGATTATTATTATCTCGAAGACATGATAAGGCGCTGTATTAAATGCAAGGATTATTATTATCATATACAAGCAACCGTGTTGGGCTAGTCTCGCCTCAGACGGTTATGGGTTGAACACCCCACGGCTTAAGATCGCAGTCTAAACCAACACCAAATGGTGTGATATCAAATGGGTAAAGTGGACGGGTAAAAAAAAATTGGTCACTCAATCCACGACTGTTTGTGAGACTGCTGTGAGCAATTGGCTGCCGCGTTTCGCCCACAAAATATACAGTCACTACACTTTACACTGTATCCTGTGACATCTCGAAGGCGTGACAGGGTGCTATATCAAATGCAAGGAATATTATTTACCTGGAATATATAGATCTGGGGCGTTGACTTCAACTCGCGGGGCCACAGGGGTGTCTTGTTGATACCGTACCTCCCAGTTCTGGCAGCAACGAGATTAATGAATAGGTCAGTCTCTGCGCTGTCAGGCTCAGCCACAAGCAACAACAAAAATAACATGACAGTTACACACACAGTACCTTTCATATCAGGAGGAGGATGTCCCAAAGTGTTGGACAGTCAGGGATTTGGACCCGAGCTGGGCTGGGGGTTGGGATTGGCTGGATCAGGAGGGGTGGAGGGCAGGGAGGGTGGGAGTTAATTGCAGGGAAAGCAATTAACTTTCTAATTAGGCACCAGAATTCCACCGGTGACCAGCTTAAGAGCTTGCAGGATAGTGGAGACTGGTTCCGAGGGAGTGTACTTTACACTGCACTGCTGCAGGCTAACCTAAAACTGGGGCAGCTTTACTCTTGGATTCTACAGCGCTGAGATGACGTGAGGATTCTTATACCCCAATCGCTGGCCATTGATCCCAGAGGTGGAATTGGTCGTTCCATCCGTGGTGGTTTGTGGGATGTTGCTTTGCACGCAAATTGGCTGCTCTTATGGTCACCAGACCTACAGACCAGAGAGAGAGAGATCTGCTGCTCAGGTAAACTCACTTAATAATATTAATCCTTGTATTTGATACCGCGCCTTATCACGTCGTCAAGACGACTCAAAGCGCTTCACATGATGCAATGTAAACTGCAGTGCTGTGTGAAACGCCAATTGCTCACAGCAGTGTCCTACAAACAGTCGTGGATTGAGTGACCACATTTTTTTGTTTATAGGGATTATCACCCCGGAAAGGAATCCGCCAAGGGTGTTCCTATTTAGTGCTAGGTAAACAGAGGCGTGTGGAATAAGGAAACGGGGGAAATGGAGGGAAAGGAATCAATTGTGAAGGGCTTTATGAGTGGTAGTGTTATTCCTGAATTCCTTACCTGATGCATATAAGGAAACAAGAGGAGTCCCAGTTTCTTACCAACGTACACCGTATCCACAGCAAAATAATACTTCAGTCTGCTCACAGGAATAATGCGATCAATCTGTGGGAGTCAGGGAGGAGTAAAGTTATTCTAACCCCTTCAGTAATAATAATAATCCTTGCCTTTGATATAGCGCCTTATCACGTCTTCAAATGCAAGGATTATTATCAGTGTCACCACCAGGATTTCCTGCAGTGCCTCTGGGTGAGACGTGTCTAACTCGCGACACCGGCTTTGCAGATCACACTTACGTTTTTATCCACAATGTCCTTCCCCTGATTAGCCAGGCTGGTGCCGTAGACCATGGCCAGGTTAGACATGGTGGGGTCACTGAGGAAGCCTTGGCCAGGAACACTGAAGCTGGCCGGTGAAGGGGCTGCGCCCCCACTGGTGTCTTCGAAGAGATGGTTGGGGTCTCCCATGGTCTGTGTCGGGATCCTGGTTCTCAACTTGGCAGCTGGAATTCAGATTAAAAAGTGAGCCAGCGACTGCGACACGTAGTGTAGGGGTCAGAGCCCTCGCCCCGCGAGCCGGAGGACCCGAGTTCACTTCCCGGGCGGGTCAGTTCAGGCGAAACCTTCGGCAAGTTTCCTTACCCCCCCTTACCCCCACACACACACAGTCAGAAACAGACAGACAGACAGACACACACACACAGACAGACACAGACAGACAGACACACACACACAGACACACACAGACACACACACACAGACAGGCACACACACGCCTGTGTTTACCAGCAGTCAGTAGGAACCCGGTCGTTAGTCGATTCGGGGATCACTTTCCGGTGGGTAATAATAAACCCTCCAATAAATGATGATAATAATAATAATAATAAAATGGTCACTCAACCCCCGGCTGTTTGTGGGGACGTCGCTGGGGCACAATCGGCTGCCGCGCTTCACCCACAAGACACACAGTCACTACACTTTGCAGCGGCGTGTCCCGTGAAGCGCTTTGAGACGACGCGATCAGGCGCCGGGTCCGACCCCGGGGATTGTTAGTGTTATAATCACACGGTGACTCAGAGCCAGAGAGACAGTGCGGGCGCGCTGTGTGGGGCGGGGGGCGCTGTAAAGTGGGGCGCGCTATAAGAGGGTGGGGGGGTGCGCTGTAAAGTGGGGGTGCGCTATAAGAGGGTGGGGGTGCGCTGTAGTGGGGGTGCGCTATAAGAGGGTGGGGGGGGGGGGGTGGGGGGGGGGGGGGGGGGGGGGGGGGGGGGGGCGCTGTAAAGTGGGGCGTGCTATAAGGGGGGGGTGCGCTGTAAAGTGGGGGCGCGCTATAAGAGGTGGGGGGTGCGCTGTAAAGTGGGGCGCGCTATAAGTGGGGGGTGCGCTGTAAAGTGGGGGTGCGCTATAAGAGGGTGGGGGGGTGCGCTGTAAAGTGGGGGTGCGCTATACGGGGGTGTGCTATACGTGGGGTGTGGGGGATGCTATGGGGGGGATCGCTATATGGGTGTGGTGGGGGGGGTGCGCGTTGTAAAGGGGGATCACTATAAGGGGGGGCGCTGTAAGCGGGGATTGTTGTTATAAGGGGAGGGGGGACGGGTCGCGCTGTAACGGGGGTCGGTGACGTCAGTCAAGGAGGGGGCGCGGGAGGGCGCGGCTTCTTATTGGCTGTAAATCAACAACAGAAGAGGGAGAGGAGAGGGAAATGGCCACGTACGTGACTTACGGTGTCTGAAGGCGGAGGAGGGGTCGCTGTAGTCCATGATGGCGGCGGCGGCGGCGGGTGGGGGGCGACTGAGGCGATGGCGCTCGCGCTCGGGCGGACGAAACTCTTCCCGCCCGTCCCGACGTGACGCAACCGAACCTGACTGACGCACGCGCCGGCCAATCAATCAGCCACGCGCTGCGGCCGCGGTCTGGGAGTCACGACCAATCAGAAGGAGAGGAGTGGGTGAAGAGGGCGGGAGCTCAGCCACAGCCCCGCCCCCCCCCCAGCAGCAGCAGCACGTTTGGTTGGTTTGGTTTGGTTGAGCGGCACAGTGTGTTGGGCTGATTTGGGCGGTTTTCACGCCCAATTGGGCTTTTTTTTATGGTGTTATGTATGGGGAGGCTTCGAGACGTCTCAAAGCGCTTCACAGGATACAGTGTAAAGTGAGAGACCTGAGTTTATTTCCAGGCAGGTCAGGGCGAAACCTCGGGCAAGTTTCCTTACTCCACACAGAGCCTAATAATAATCCTCCAAATCCAAAAACAATAATAAATTGGTCATTTTCAATCTACGACTGTTTGTGGGACATTGCTGTGCGCAATTGGCTGCCGCGTTCGCCCACAAATATACAGTCAATTCACTTTACAGTGTGTTCTGTGAAGCGCTTTGGGAAGTCCTCCTGACGTGAAAAGCGCTATATCAAATGCAAGGATTATTATTATTATTATATTATTATTATTAATTGTGTATTTTGTGAGCGAAACACAGGAGTCAACTGCGCACAGCGACGTCCCACAAACAGCCGTGGATTGATGTGTTCCCTCAAACGCACCTCTCAGCGATCTCAGCGTCTCCTGTCCTTCACCTAACTGTTTACCTTTGTCTTTCCCATCCTCTTTTACCATTTGTCCTTATCAACTGTTCCCTCCAACATCCCCCAGTTCAGCCAAAAGGTCATGGACCTGGAACGTTAATCCACTTTCCTCTCTTCATAGATGCTGCCTGACCTGCTGAGTGTTCCCAGTGAGTTCTGTTTTTTTTTACTCAATATCCAAACTTTATTAGGTTTTTACAAATGTTAAGTCGTCAAAAGAAACACACTTAAAAACACATATAACAACAACATGCATTCACGCGGGATAGCGCCCCGGAGCGCGTGAATACACATATTAAAGTTCATTTAAACAAAAACAGCAATTCCTGAGGCAGTCGGTTCGCAGACCGGAAGTGCCAGTCAATCACAGCCGAGACAAACGGAAAGCGAAGGAAAAACAAAAAGAAATGCTGACACCCTGGCACTTAAACAGACTCTCCTGAACACGATCTCCTGTCTTGTGGGATTCCTGTATCCCTCACCCCAATAGGGATACAATATATAGTTTGGGATACGACATGTCAACTGCTGCCAGGATGATGGAAGGCAAACTGGATGGACTTTGGCGAGCGAATTCTTATGCTCTTCTTTGCTCAAATACTTTGACCTGAAGACTCTTGGTTTGAGGCTCAATGAAACCTGGTCTGGTGGGAGTACAGTCAGTTTCCGAGGTGGGGGTGCGTCAAAGATTAAAGCTCAAAGGTATACGAGATGATGTCAGAGCACCTCAGCAGCGCTTCTTTCTGAACCCCTAATGGCGTTGCAGGTTGGAGACTTGGAAGTTCAGGATGTCTATGTCCGAGGCTCCGAATGTGGCGTTGACTTTGACTCGCTCGTACATGGTGAGGTGGAGCGGCCTCCCCACTGCCCCCAGTAGGCTCCGCAGGAAGCCCTCCCTCAGCGCCGAGCGAGTGCTCTGCTCCCGTTCCAATTGCCAGCCGGAGTTGCCGACGTCAGAGGCCTGGATGGAGGAGGGCGAGAGCGCGAGAAACCGGGGAGAATTGGGGTCAAAACCTCGGCTGTGCCCGTCCGGTCCCCGGGGAAGCCGCAAAACCGCCACCGTGGACGTCATCACTGTGGAGAAGAGAGTGAGCACTAAAACTGCATCAAACATCCTTTGCAAACCATCCACATTCTTCCCACTCGGCTCCTGTTAACCAGAGATCCTGGAGTCCTGTAGTTCAGTGATTAGAGCACTCGCTTTGCAAGTGAGAGACCCGAGTTCAATTCCAGGCAGAGGGCCAAACCTCGGGCAAGTTTCCTTACTCCACACAGAGCCTAATAATAATCCCTCCAAAACCAAAAACAATAAATTGGTCATTTTCAATCTACGACTGTTTGTGGGACATTGCTGTGCGCAATTGGCTGCCGCGTTCGCTCACAAATATACAGTCAATTCACTTTACGGTGTGTTCTGTGAAGCGCTTTGGGACGTCCTCCCGACGTGAAAAGCGCTATATCAAATGCAAGGATTATTATTATTATTATCTCCTCGGAGCTGAACTGGCCCCAAGGTGACGAGTTTTGGGAACGGAATGTCAGAATCGAGCCACCCCCTCTGTGACGGTCTCTGGTCCCCGGTTCCTGAGCCAAGAGGGGCCGCAATATCCCGGTGCACTCACTGCTGATGACAGCACAGCCCATCGGCAGGACCTGGAAAGGCCGATCAGTCACTGGGGGCAGGGAATCCTCCCCCTCAGCTCCTGGAGCTCAGTGGTTAGAGCACTCGCCTTGCAAGCGAGACACCTGGGTTCAATTCCAGGCAGAGGGCGAAACCTTGGGCAAGTTTCCTTACTCCACACACCTAATAATAATTCCTCCAAAATAAAACAGTAATAAATGGTTCATTTTCAATCTACGGCTGTTTGTGGGACAGGCATTGCTGTGCGCAATCGCCCGCTGCGTTTTGCCCACAATTATACAGTCAATTCACTTTACAGTCTATTCTGTGAAGCGCTTTGAGACATCGAGAAGACATGAAAAGCGCTATATCAAATGCAACGATTGTTATTATTAACCCTACAGCCCACTCACCAACTAACGGGGAGGGGGTCCGAGCGGGACACGCAGCGGGAAAGCTCGGCCAGACAGCGCTCGCTCTCTCTCTCTCTCTCTCTCTCGATGGCTGAGCTGTGTGTGGGGTTAGTTGGTCAGACCCCAACAGTTACCCCCCAACACACACTCTGCCCCCCACGCCCCCCAAGCCTTGGCTCTCCCCATCCTGCGCCTAATACTGTCCGGAATTAGGTAAACAGGGGACGTCCCTCCAGGGAGAGAGAGAGAGAGTAAATAAAATGAATTAATATAAGTGTAAAAGCTAAAATAAGAGGAACTGAATGAATTTAAAGGAACAAATAAACTGAGAAACTCCACACTCACCTCAGCCTCTGTAGGTCCCTCACTAACACCTTCCCCCACGCCGCTCAGTGTCCCGCACACAAATGCTTCCCCGTCAACCACCAAGTCCCCCAACATTAGTTCCTAGGCCCTCAGTTTATACAGTATTTGTGGGGACGTCGCCGGGCGCAGCGTTTCACCCACAAAACACACAGTCACCACACTTTACAGTGTATCCTATGAAGCGCTTTGAGCCGTGATTGACAAGGCGATGTATCAAATGCCAGTATTATTATTATTATGGTAACTTGACTTTATATATTGCATAAACATAGTTGTTTTTAAGTTAAGGCTTGGTTGTTTTATGTGCTGTTGCACTCTATGATTCTGTTGGGGGGGGAGAAGGCGATGGATCAGCTCCTACTGTCCCCTGGTCAGACAATGGCAAGTGTGGGTCAATCAATGATAAAGTTGCCCATTCCACAGCCCGGAGGATGCTGGGAATTGTAGTTCACGTGTTCCACAAGGTTATGCCTACATTTCCCATGGTGCACAGCGAGGCGGGGAGGCTTCACCCACTCGCACACCCAAAAGTCAAGCAAGCACTACAATTCCCGTGGTACCTCACGACTGCGCAGGCTCAGTGAGGACTAACGACTACATCTCCCGTGATGCACAGGAAGGGCGGGGTGGCTTCACGCACGCGCACGCAGTACACACTGCAATTCCCATGGTGCACCGTGCCTGCACAGGCGTAGCGAGGGAGACACGACTACGTTTCCCATGATGCATAGCGGAGTCTGGCTAAACGCAAGTGCATGACGTCAAGTCAACACTACGTTTCCCAGGGTGCCTCGGGGGGGCAGGGCATGCGCAGTGGTTCCCTCACCCAGAGACCGGCTCGCGCCCAGGCCTCACAGCCGCCAACCGGGACATGGCTCAGGCCGGCAACTCCGGGGACCCCGGATCCTCCCGCCGCTGCCTGGCCACACAGTACTTCACTGAGGAGGAGAACAACGCCATCGAGAGCCTGAGCACCAGCGAGAGGGTGAGAGAGAGGGGGAGTGAGGGGAGGGAGGGGGAGAGAGAGGGGGGGGGAGGGGAGGGGGAGAGAGAGGGAGGGAGTGAGGGGAGGGGGAAAGAGAGGGGGAGGGAGAGAGTGGAGGGGGAGGGAGAGAGAGGGAGGGGGAGAGAGAGAGGGGGAGTGAGGGGAGGGGGAAAGAGGGAGGGAGGGAGTGGAGGGGGAGAGAGAGGGGGAGGGAGAGAGTGGAGGGGGGGGGAGAGAGAGGGGGAGTGAGTGAGAGAGGGAAGGAGGGAGGGAGTGAGAGGAGGGGGAGAGAGGGAGTGAGAGAGGGGCAGAGAGGGAGGGAGAGAGAGAGAGAGAGAGAGGGGGGGATAGAGAAAGAGAGAAAGATGTGGGGAGGAGAGAGGGAGTGAGATCCTCCTGATCCCAACCCCCGGCTCGGGTCCAAATCCCTGACTGTCCAGCGCCTTGGGATGTTCTCCTGACGTGAGGAGTTCTGTGTGTGTAAGTGTCATGTGTTGTTGTTGTTGTTGTTGCAGGTGGTGGATCTGTTGAACCAGGCGGCTCTCCTGGTCAATGATAAGATCTCGGTCCTCAAACAGGTGCAGGAGCTGATAGTGAACAAGGACCCCACGCTGCTCGACAACTTTCTGGATGTGAGTGAACTCTTTACTGTGGGACATCATAGTGACCCGCATTCGTGGAGAAGTCCCTGTAGCTCAGGGGTTAGAGCCCTCACATCGCAAGTGAGAGGACCCGGGTTCGATTCCCGGGCGCGTCAGGTCAGGACGAAACTTTAGGCAAGTTTCCTTACTCCCCCGCACACACACAACACGCACACACACCTCTGTTTACCTAGTAGTAAGTAGGAACCCAGTTGTTAGTCGATTGTCGGATCGCTTTCCGGGTGTAATCCCTTCAAATAAATAATCCCTTCAAAATAAATAACTATAATTTGGTCACTCAACCCACGACTCTTTGTGGGATGTTTCTGTGCACAATTGGCTGTCGCCTTTCACCCACAAAATGTACAGCAACTCCACTTTACAGTGTATCCTGTGAAGCACTTTGAGACGTCTCAATGACGTAATTAGGCGCTGTATCAAATGCCAGGATTATTATTATTATCTCGATCACTCAGACTGCCTTCTGCATTCATAGTGTGGTTGGGGATGGGGTTGTGATGAACATGAGCGGGACCTGGACTTACAAGCTACATGTGACATGGGTTTGAGAATACACATGGAACACCAGATGTGTTTATATAATATTGTCTACGGAGGCTGTTATCTAAATTGTGTGCGTTTCTCTCCTCAGGAAATGATTGCATTTCAGTCGGATAAATCCGTTGATGTTCGGAAGTTTGTGATCGGATTCATGGAAGAGGCCTGGTTAGTTCAGTTTGATACTCCCATCGCACATCTCGCCTCTCCCTTTCCTTACCAGTGCAATATCTCCCTGTCCGCCCACCCAACGCTTTCATTCACTCAGTACCATCGCTGTTCCCGGGGTAATTATCCTTCCAAAAAAAATAATTATTTGTTCACTCAATCCACGACTGTTTGTGGGACACTGCTGTGCACAGTTGGCTGCCGATTTTTGCCCACAAAATAGAGAGTCACTCCACTTTACAGTATATTTCATTATATATATATAAAATGAAGTATATATACTTCAGTGAGTGAGTGGTAAACGTATGGAACAGGCTCCTTAGAGAGATAGACGTTGGAAGCAGAGAGTGTCGATTCTTTCAAGAGCAAATGAGATAGATTTCTGTTCGGAAACAATATCTGGGGCTAATACAGTATATAGTTTGGGACACGACATGTGCAAGCGACTGCCGGGATGGTAGAAGACAAACTGGATGGACCTTGGTCTCCTTTCACCAGCAAATTCTTACGTTCTTGTGTTATATTCTGTGAAGCGCCTTGAGATGTTTCAATGTCGTGATAAGGCGCTGTATCAAATCAAATAATTATTATTATCAAATGCAAGAATTATTATTATCAATTGCAATCAATTATAATTATTATTATTCTCTCTTATAGTAAGCGGGATAACGAGCTGCTGCCCAAGCTGATCGCTAACCTGAACATGCTGCTTAAAGATGAGAACGTCAACGTGGTCAAGAAAGTCATCCTGACCATGACTCAGCTTTACAAGGTGGCTCTGCAGGTGAGCATTGGGTCACAGGTGTGACAGGTAGGGTGGTCCTGGCTGGACAAGCAGCGGGAAAGTTTGCCAGACAGCGCTATCCGTGGCCAAGCTATGCAGGTTTAGCTGGTATCATGTTATGGTATGTGAGTGGGTGGGTGGGTGGCTGAGGTGGTGACGGACCCTGTGTTGCCTCTCACCAGTGGATGGTGAAGTCGAAGGTGATCAGTGACATGGAGGAGGCGTGCTGGGACATGGTCAGTGCCATGAAGGACGAGATTGTCACCATGTTGGACTCAGACAATGACGGGATCCGCACCCACGCTGTCAAGTTCATCGAGAGCCTGATCATCACCCTGTCCCCTCGCACCCCAGACTCCGAGGTACCCAAACGCCAAGAGAACGACATCAGCCTGGACCGTATTGCCAAGGGCCATCCCAACATCAAAGCCAGTGAGTCCCTCTCTCACACAGACACGCACTCACACACATACAGTCATCCACTGTCTCGTCACTCACACACACACACACCTCACACACACATACACAGTCAACCACTGTATCGTCACAGACACACCTCACATGCACATACACAGTCAGCCACTGTCCCATCGTTCGCCCACAAATATACAGTCAATTCACTTTACAGTGTGTTCTGTGAAGTGCTTTGGGACGTCCTCCCGACGTGAAAAGCGCTATATCAAATGCAAGGATTATTATTATTATATTATCTCTCATACACACACAGTCAACCACTGTCCCATCTCTCTCACACACACACACTCACACGCACACACCACACATACACAATCAGCCACTGTCTTGTCTCTCACACACACACACACACACACACACCTTACATGCACATACATAGTCAGCCACTGTCCCATCTCTCTCACACATACTCACGCGCACGCATCACACATACACAGTCAGCCACTGTCTTGTCTCTCTCACACACCTCACACTCACGCATGCACAAACACACACCCACAGACACACTGACGTTATTCATACAGTAAAATCTGGGGTACGGGTGGGGGTTTTCCCCCAAAAAACACACAGTCATTCCACTTGACAGTATATCCAGTGAAGCGCTTTGAGATGCCTCAACGATGTGACGGGGTGCTGTATGAAAGGCGAGGATGCTGATGATGATGCTTTACCCTGGGCAGATGTCCTGCAGGAGGAAGGGAAGTTGGCACTTGACCACTTGCTGAAGTTTATGGTGCACCCGGCGATCACTAGCATCAACCTGACGGCAGCGCTGGGCTCCCTGGCCACCATCGCCCGACAGAGACCCATGTATATGTCCGAGGTCATCCAGGCCTACGAGACGCTTCACGGTGAGTGAGTGACCGAGCCGAGCACTTTGCAATGAGAGATCCTGGTAATAATAGTCCTGGCATTTGATACAGCGCCTTATCACGTCTTTGAGACGTCTCAAAGCGCTTCACTGGATACACTGTAAAGGCAGCCAATTGTGCACAGCAGTGTCCCACAAACAGTCGTGGATTGAGTGATCAAATTATTATTTTTTTGAAGGGATCATTATCCCCGGAAACGTGATCCACTAATCGACTAGCAACCGGGTTCCTATTTACTGTTAGGAGTAAGGAAACATTTTGTCCTGCCAGGAAATCGTACCCGGGTCTCTCGCTTGCGAGGCGAGTGCTCTAACCACTGAGCTACAGGACTCCACGTTATTCTATATTCTGAGAGTTGGTGTTGTTATGATCGTTGTTGTGGTTGTTTGCCTTCTCCTTCCCCCCACCCCCCACTGTAGCTAACTTGCCCCCGACCCTGGCCAAGTCTCAGGTCAGCAGTGTGAGGAAGAATCTGAAGCTCCACCTGCTGAGCGTGCTGAAGCACCCATCCTCCTTCGAGTTCCACGCCCAGATCACCACCCTGCTCCTGGACCTGGGCACCCAACAGCAGGAGATCGCACGCAACATGCCCAGCCTCAAGGAGCTGCGCAAGAGACACCGCGACGAGGCTGAGCAGGGGGCCAAGAAGATCAAGATCGGTCAGTGGAGTGGGGGGGGGGGGGGGCAGTGGGACTGTGAGGGGAGGGGAGAGGAATAGTCACAATCACTTGCCTTTACACAGCGCCCTTCACACGAGGCAACGTCTCGGAGCGCTTGGCAGTGGCGGAGCCTGACAGCGAGATGCAGAAGTGGGAAGTGGGGTTGGGGTGGAGTAGTGGAACTGTGGGGGAGGGGCGACGTGAGGAATAGAGTTACATCACTTGCCCTTACCAGGTCAAAGAGGAAGGTCTTCTTGTTGGTGATCTGAAGACGGGAGGCGAGGTGGAGGGAGGGAGGGAGGGAGTGAGTGAGCGATAGAGTTTGGGGCGTAGTGGCTGAAAGTGCGTCAGCTGATGGTGGAGCGGAGGGCACGAGCGACAAGCAATGGGGCAGGTGGTTGAGTGGGGCTGTAACATGTACTGACCTGGCCCTGACTCCCCCCCCTCCCCCTGCAGAGCCGCTGGCTGAGGATGATGAAGATAAGGACCTGGAACCCACAGCGGCCGTGGCTCCCAAACCCTCGTCCACCCAGAACACCCAGTCAGCCATCGACATCACAGCACAGTTCCTCACTCCCCTGCTCTCCCCTGACAACGTGGCTAATCTGGTCAGTGCTGGGTTAGGGTTAGAGGGCACGCTCAATCTCCTCTTGCTCTCTCTCTGTTTCTCTCCTGTCCCTCTCTTCTCTCGGTTTCTCCCCCTCTCTCCCTCTCTGTTTCTCTCCCTCCCGCTGCAGTGAGGCAGCCACTGACTCTCTCTCTCTCTCTCTCTCTCTCTGTGTGGTGACAGGTACTGATCAGCATGGTGTACCTGCCTGACGTGATGCCAGCCTCCTTCCAGGCCACCTATACCCCGGTGGAGTCTGCGGGGACTGACGCCCAGATCCAGCACCTGGCTCGGCTCATGGCCACACAGATGACGTCAGCCGATCTGGGGCCAGGTAACCTGGAGGCCTTGGGGATGGGTTACAGGCAATGGTGTTGCCACGGTTACTGAGTTGCCATGACAGCCAACCTACCAACTGATTGATTGACGTCCCTGGCTCTTGTACCCTCCTCTTAATAACAACAACAACAGCACGACATTTACACACAGTGACTTTCATGTCAGGAGGACGTCCCAAGGCGCTGGGCAGTCAGGGATTTGGACCCGAGCTGGGCTGGAGGTTGGGATTAGGAGGGGTGCAAGACCAGGGCTAGGTGGGTGGCCAATGGCACAGTTGGTTGAAGAGGAGAGTCTTGAGATGGGCCTTGAAGTAGACGAGGGAGCGGGGGCGAGGGGAAGGGGCTGTGGGAAGGAGTTCCAAAGGGTGGGGTAAAGGGAAACGGAGGAATTATTTCTCTATTTTCCTTCACATACACACACAATTTGGCTTATTAGTGATGCACTGAGATACAGTCCCAAGTTCAAGCTGCGGTTGGAATTATTATTATTATTCTGACACGGCAGGTGTGGAGCAGATGAAGCTTCAGGCCGACGAGGATCAGAAGGCGGGGAAAGACGGCAAGTCGGACAGCCCGCTGATCAAGCGACGCGGCACCAACCTCAAACCGGGCCAAGGCCAGGCCATCTCAGTGGTGGGCGCCCCCGCTCCCTTCCAGCCCAGCAAGGAGGAGGACACCCAGGCCAGGCGCAGGCCAGAGCCCATCATGCCGTCCAGCCAGCAAAGGTCAGTCAGCCCTGACCTTCCAGCAACCGCAACATCCCCTCACACCAGGCAGCCTCTCAGAGCACTTGACCGTGGCGGAGTCTGACCCCGAGCCAGGGGGAGAGGGAGGGAGGAGCACCATCAAATATGGTCTTCAGGCGGGATTGAAGGTGGGGAGGGAGGGAGAGAGGGGTCAAGGCTCAGGAAAGCGGGGGAGAAGTTTTCCCTTGTGTTATCTCCGGGACTCTAGCCCGCATGAAGGGAGCTATATAAATGTGAGTTGTTGTTGTTTTGTGTGTCTCTCTCTCATTGACTGCGGTTCCCTCTCAGGCCGCTGGGGGTGAGCGGGAGGAAGAAGATCTTCAGGCTGACGGACGTGGTGCAGCAGCTGCCGGTGGACAAGATGGACAAGCTGAAGCTGGGGGCCGTGCAGCGCATCCTCAACGCAGAGCGGGTGGTCGTCCGCAGTGGGGCAGCTCCGGTCAGTGCCCCTCCCTCCCTGGCTCTCTCTGCCCCTCCAGCCCCCCCCCCCCACAAACCCACTACCCGCTGGCTCCGCTCAACTGGCTTGGCCCTCAGGCCTTCCATTCCACCATCAGTGGCCGCGCTTTCAGCCACTATGCCCCGAAACTCTTGTCACTCTCTTCCCCAATCACTCCGCCTCACCCCCTTCCTTCCCCATCTTCAGATGCACTGGATTTCACCCACAAAGTAAGGATTATTTATTTCTAATCCTGTGAAGCGCTTTGAGACGTCTCGACGACGTGATGAGGCGCTGTATCAAATGCAAGGATTATTATCATCACCATCATCATTGTCCTGTGAAACACTTTGAGATGTCCTTCCGACATGAAAGGCAGCGTATAAAGGCTGTTGTTGTTGAAGACCTCTTGTGCCGGTGTCCTTCAGATCCGGGTGAAGATCCTGGCTCGCCTGGTGACCCAGTTTGACGGGAAGATGAAGAACGAGATGATGGACTTCATCCTGGAGGACATCCGCAGCCGCATCGACCTGGCCTTCGCTTGGCTCTACCAGGAATACAACCTGTACCTCAGCCACTGGCCCAGCGGCGCTCTGGACAGCTATGACGAGTGTCTGACCAGCCTGCTCTCCGGCCTGCAGGAAAAGCCCGACCAGAAAGACGGGTCAGTGTCTTGGCCGGAGCCCCCGCCCCCTCTGCCGGAGCCCCCGCCCCCTCTGCCGGAGCCCCCGCCCCCTCAGCCGGAGCCTCCGCCCCCTCACCCGGAGCCCCCTCACCCGGAGCCCCCGCCCCCTCAGCCGGAGCCCCCGCCCCCTCAGCCGGAGACCCCGCCCCCTCAGCCGGAACCCGCCCCTCAGCCGGACCCCCCCTCAGCCGAACCCCGCCCCCTCAGCTGGAGCCCCCGCCCCCTCTACCAGAGCCCCCGCCCCCTCTGCCAGAGCCCTGCCCCCAGCACAGCTCCGCCTTTAACAATCAGCTGAAACTCCCCAGTCAACACCAACAACAACTTGCATTACATTTATGTGCGTTACATACATAAGAACACAAGAAATACAGGAAGAAAAAAGAACAAGGTTCATCTTGTTTGCCTTCCACCTTCCTGGCGGTCGCTTGCACATATGTCCCGAATTACCTATGTCCTATATACAGTCCAGTGCAGTGGTTAGAGCCCTCGCCTCGCAAGCCAGAGGACCCAGGTTCGATTTCCAGGAGTCATGTCAGGATGAAACCTTAGGCAAGTTTCCTTACTCCAACACACACGCGCCTCTTTCCCAGCAATCAGTAGGAACCCGCTTGTTAGTAGAATGGCGGATCACTTTCCGGAGGTAATAATCCCTTCAAAAATATATATGGTCACTCAATCCACGACTGTTTGTGGGACCCTGCTGTGTGCAATCAGCTGTCGCGTTTCACCCACAAAGTACACAGTCACTACACTTTACTGCTTGCTGATGTGTGTGTGTGTGTGTTGTGCTTTTTAGGCTGTTTACCAAGTTGGTGTTGGAAGCTCCCTGCATCACTGACAGCGCCTTGGAGGTGATCCGCAGATACTGTGAGGACGAGGTACGGAGTGTGTTCCCTGCCCCCGGTGTAATCCCATTCCCTTCCCTTCCCAGAGGCCCGTTCCCTCGTCCGTGCTTAAGGCCCAACCCTCTGGAAATCCCTCTGCTCCCCCCCCACCCCACGCTACTGTTAAGCGCTCCAAGTTACTGCCCTGTGTGAAAGCCCATTGTGTAAAGTCCTGTAACTCAGTGGTTAGAGCGCTCGACTCGCAAGTGAGAGGACACGGGTTCAATTCCCGGCTGAGCGGAGGGAAAACCTTAGGTAAGTTTCCTTACTCCACACACATGCCTCCGTTTGCACAGCAGTAAGTAGGAACCCGCTTGTTAGTCGATTGGTGGATTTGCTTTCCGTGGGTAACCACAGAACCACGTTTGCTTTAAAAAATAATAATAATTTGATCACTTCAATCCTCGACTGTTCAATCTTAAATGCTGCATTTCGCCCACAAAATACAAAGTCACTACGCTATAAAATATATTCTTTGAGTTGTCTCAACGACGTGATAAGGCGCTGTGTGAAATACAAGGATTATTATTATTATTATGGATTAGTCTACAACAAATAGAAAGCTTTGGTATTTGGTATTAAGTGCCTGAAGCCACTTCATATAAACGTATTAAACATATAGGATAAATGTTTATCGCGCTCTCCTGTGATTCTCTTCCCCACAGACTCGCATTTACCTGGGAATGTCCACACTCCGAGACCTGGTGTTCAAACGCCCGTCAAAGCAGCTGCAGTACTTGCACGTACTGCTAGACCTCAGCTCCCACGAGAAGGACAAGGTGAGGAGACTCTGCTCCCGGCTCCCCCGGGCAGGCCAACGGCAATCCTTATGGGTCGATGTTGGGGTTCCCCCTTTTCCCCTACTCCTCTGAAAAGTCCCTGGGGGCAGGAATCCTCCCCCTCGGCTCCTGTTTACCGGGCAGCCAAAGCCCTAACTAACTAATGGGGAGGGGGTCTGAGCTGGACAAGCAGCGGGAAAGCTTGGCCAGACAGCGCACTCTCTCTCTCTCTCTCTCTCTCAATGGCCAAGCTATGTGTGGGTTTAGCTGGTTGGATTCCAGCAGTTACCCCAACGCACACTCTGGGCTCTCCCCCACCCCCCAAGCCTTGGCTCTTGCCAACCTGCGCCTAATACTCTCTGGAATTAGGTAAAGCAGAATGCCACCCCTCAGAGAGAGAGAGAGAGAAAGCGCATTCTAATCCAACAATCTGTCTCTGGGATTTCCATGTTTAAGTGGGATGTGGGGAATTCTCAAGATCACGGTGACGGGTTTCCGTGTGTGTCAGACACCCGGCCGGTCACGGTGACGGGTTTCCGTGTGTGTCAGACACCCGGCTGGTCACGGTGACCGGTTTCTGTGTGTGTCAGACACCCGGCTGATCCTGATGACGGGTTTCCGTGTGTGTCAAACACCCGGCTGGTCACGGTGACGGGTTTCCGTGTGTGTCAGACACCCGGCCAGTCACGGTGACGGGTTTCCATGTGTGTCAGACACCCGACCGGTCACGGTGATGGGTTTCCGTGTGTGTGTCAGACACCCGGCTGGTCACGGTGACGGGTTTCCGTGCGTGTCAGACGCCCGGCTGACCAACAATAAATGTATTGGTGCCCGCAGGTCCGTTCCCAGGCGCTAATGTTCATTAAGAGGATGTATGAGAAGGAGCAGCTTCGTGAGTACATTGAGAAATTTGCCCTGAATTACCTCCAGCTACTGGTTCATCCCAACCCTCCGTCCATCCTGTTCGGGGCCGACAAGGACACAGGTGAGAGGCCGCGCTGTGCCGGGCAGAGCACCTCATAGTAGCAGTAATAATAATAATCCGTGCCTTTGATATAGCACCGTATCACTGACTGACTGACCCACTGACCAACTCACTGACTCACCCTCTCACTGACTGACTCACCCTCTCACCTTCTAACAAAGCTTTCCACTCTGTTGTAGACTAATCAACCTTGTATTTCACACAGGACCTTATTATGTCGCTGAGACGACGCAAAGGATATATTGTATAGTGTAGTGATTTGTATTTTGTGGGCGAATTGCGGCATCTAAGCTTGAACAGTCGAGGATTGAAGTGACCGAATTATTATTTCACTGGCTCACCCGCTCACTGACTCACCCGCTCACTGCTCACCCGCTCACTGGCTCACCCGCTCACTGACTCACCCGCTCACTGGCTCACCCGCTCACTGGCTCACCCGCTCACTGGCTCACCCGCTCACTGGCTCACCCGCTCACTGACTCAGGCCGCTCACTGACTCACCCGCTCACTGACTCACCCGCTCACTGTTTCTCTCTCTCTCTCTCTCTCTCTCTCTCTCTCTCTGTGACAGTGTTGGCCTCACTGACTCACTCACTGACCCACTAACTGACACCTCTCTCTCTCTGTGTGGCAGAGGTGGCTGCCCCCTGGACCGAGGACACAGTGAAGCAGTGCCTGTACCTGTACCTGGCTTTGCTGCCCCAGAACCACAAGCTGATCCACGAGCTCGCTGCCGTCTACACTGAAGCCATCGCCGACATCAAGCGCACGGTGCTGCGAGTCATCGAGCAGCCGGTAACTAGCGTCACTTTGTTCAGCTCCCCACTGGAGCTCGCTCTCTTTCCCCATCATGTTTGTGCTGGGGCTCACTCCCTCACTAGAGCTCTTTCTACTCTAACTCTCTACTCCCTGCTCTCTCCTCATCGGTGACTGTGCTTTCAGTCTGTACGCCCCAAAACTCTGTCACTCTCTTCCTGTCAATCCCTCCGCCTCTTCCCCCTCCTTCCCCCGTCTTCAGGTCTTGCCCGAAGACCTTCCTCTTCGACCAGTGCCTATGGTCACCTCCCCCCACGGCTCGGTGTCAGACTCCCCCACTGTCAATTGATCTGGGATGCTGCCCTGCGTGAGGGGTGCTGTGTATCATAGAATCATAGAATTGTACGGCACAAAAAGAGGCCATTCAGCCCATTGAGTCTCCGCCGGCTCTTTGAAAAGAGCAAGTTGTTGTTGTTGAAGCTCGCTCTCTCTCTGGATGTGTTACAGATCCGGGGGATGGGGATGAACTCCCCGGAGCTGCTGCTGCTTGTGGAAAACTGTCCCAAAGGGGCTGAGACCCTCGTCACTCGCTGTCTCCACATCCTGACCGACAAAGGTACCCACCCCCTCCACCTCCCGATCCCCACACCCCGCTCGGATCCAAACTCCTGACTGTTCAGCACCTTGGAACGTCCTTTTGACGTGAGAGGCACCGTGTAAATGTCATTTGTTGTTGTTTCAGTGCCTCCGTCTCCCGAGCTGGTGAAGAGAGTCCGTGATCTCTACCACAAGAGGGTGCCTGACGTGCGCTTCCTGATCCCAGTGCTGAACGGCCTCGAGAAGGTAACTCACTCCCTGTTGCTCCGCCAGGCCGGGAAAGATCTGGTGGAGTCTCTCCCTGTAGCTCAGGGGTTAGACCCCTCGCCTCACAAGCCAGAGGTTCGATCCCTGGCAGGACAGGTCAGAGCAAAATCTTAGGCAAGTTTCCTTACTCCACACAGATGCACGCGCACACAGACGCACGCACACACAGACGCACACACACACAGAAGCACAGACGCGCGCACACAGACACACTCATGCACGCGCACACACACAGACGCACTCACACACACACGTACACACACTCTATACCAGCAGTCAGCAGGAACCCGCTTGTTAGTCGATGGGCGGTTCACTTTCTGGGGGTAATAATCCCTTCAAGATAATAATGTGGGACACTGCTGCGTGCAATTGGCTCCCGGGTTTCGCCCACAAATCACTACTCTTGATAATTATATTCTTTGAAGCACTTTGAGACGTTTCAAAGATGTAATAAGGTGCAGTTTCAAATGCTAGGATTATTATTATTGCTGTGCGAGTGTGGGTGAGTGTGGGTGGGTGGGTGGGTGAGTGTTTGAGTGAGTGGCTGTGTGTTGGGCAGGGTTATGACCCTGAATTGGCTGCTGTCACATTCCTAGTGTCTGGACACTGTTCTTCACAGAAAGAAGTGATTCAGGCCCTGCCCAAGCTGATCAAACTGAATCCCATTGTGGTGAAGGAAGTCTTCAACCGGCTGCTGGGAACCACACACGGTGAGTCTTTACCTCAACTCCTCAGCAAAGCTGCCGGCAGATTTACCTAATTTTACCAAGCTTGGTGACCCCATCACCCCCACCCTCCTTCACCCAGCTCCACTGGCTCCCCATCCCACAGAGGATGCAGTTCAAAACCTTCGCCTTCCACGTCCTCCACGGCCTCGCTCCTCCCTATCTACCTCTGTGACCGGCTAACTCCATATCAACCTGTCTGCTCAGGGAGCTCCGGTCTGCTCCATGTCCCCCACCCAACCCCCACCAACGGGCCTTCAGTCTCTCTGCCCCCACCCTCTGGAACTCCATCCCACAGTCCCTCCCCCTCGCCCCTTCTCTCGCCTCCTTCAAGGCCCGTCTCAACCTCATCTTCAACCAACTGCACCTTTGGTCACCCCCCCTATCCCCCCCACCCTAGGCGGGTGTGTGGGGAGGAGACAGAATAGTAACAAGACTGCGTGTGTTTTATTCCCCACAGGTGAAGGTGGGTCCACAGCGATCTCACCTTTGACGCCTGGCGACCTGCTGATCGCTCTGCACAACATTGACTCCACCAAGTGTGACATGAAATCCATCATCAAAGGTCTGGCACTCGTCATCAACTTCAACAACAATAATAATAAACATTGCATTTCATACAGCATCTTTCATGGAGTCCTGTAGCTCAGGGGTTACACCCCTCGCCTCACAAGCGAGAGGACCCGGGTTCGATTCCCAGGAGGGTCAGGGCGAAACCTTAGGCAAGTTTCCTTACTCCACAAATACACGCGCACACACACAACAGACACACACACACAACAGACACACACACACAACAGACACACACACACAACAGACACACACAGACGGACACACACAGACACCTCTGTTTACCAGCAGTAAGTGGGAACCCGCTTGTTAGTCGATTGGCGGCTAATAAATAATAATAATGATAATTTGGTCACTTCAACCCACCGCTGTTTGTGGGGACGTCGCTGGGCGCGATCGGCTGCTGCGTTTCGCCCACAAAACGCACACAGTCACTACACTTTACAGTGTATTCTGTGAAGCGCTTTGAGACGTCTTGATGATGTGATAAGGCACCGGGTCAAATTATTAAGTGTTGGGTCGAGGGTTATTTGTTATTTATTTGTTTGTTTGTCTGTTTATTTATTTCCCGTGGGCTCTCTCCCCGCAGCCACTAACCTGTGTTTTGCGGAGAAGAACGTGTACACCTCGGAGGTGCTGGCGGTGGTGATGCAGCAGCTGATGGAGCAGAACCCCCTACCCATGCTGCTCATGCGCACTGTCATCCAGTCCCTCACCATGTACCCCCGGCTGGGGGGCTTCGTCATGAACATCCTGGCCCGGCTCATCATGAAACAGGTAACAGACCCCCCACCAGACACACACAATACACACACACAATACACAGACACACACGCCCCCCATACACAATACACAGACACACACACACCCCATACACAATACACAGACACACACACCCCCATACACTTATTACACTGACACACACACACCCAATACAGACACACACACCATACACACATTCACAGAGCCCACACACACACACACACAATACAAACATCCACACACACAGGCAGACAACCCCACACACAATACACAGACACACCACACACACACACCCCCACAGACACATGCACCACATACATGTACACCGACACACCCACACATACACACACACTCTCCCCACATACACATACAAGCACACACCACACAATCACTCACACACAGACACACGCACACGTTAACCCGCCCCAGTCTGTCCCAGCCTCCTCACTATAATGGTATCATAACCCCCCTCTCTGCTCTCCTCACCCCGGCTGCAGGTGTGGAAATACCCCAAGGTGTGGGAAGGCTTCATCAAGTGCTGCCAACGCACCAAACCTCAGTCCTTCCAGGTCCTGCTGCAGCTGCCGCCCACACAGCTGGCCAGTGTCTTCGAGAAGTGCACTGAGCTGAGGGAGCCCCTCCTCACACACGTGCGTTCCTTCACACCTCACCAGGTACGTGTTGGAGGTGGTGGGGGGGAGAGAGGGAGGAGTTGACCATAGGCACAACCTGAAGATGGGGGAGGAGGGGGCAAGGCGAAGGGATTGAGGAAGAATGCTCCAGAGGTTCGGGGTGTGGAGGCTGAAGGCAGGAGCCATCGATGGAGCGGAGGGCACTCGGGTCAAGCAGGAGGCCAGAGCCAGCTGAGCGGAGGTAGCGGGTCGTGGAGTGGGTAGAGAAGTAGATAGGGAGGTGCCCATGGGGTGGAGGGATGGTAGATCAGTGAGGATCTGACACAGCAAGGCTGATGTTTGTTCACAAGTGCCGAGTGTGAGAGCAAGGAGTCAGGGTCTTGTGTGACTAGCGATCAGCAAGGCTAGCCCCTGGTGTGGGCAGTGTCACTCATTGTGTTCTCTGCCCACTTGTAGCAAAACCACATTCCCAAGTCCATCATGACCGTGCTCGAGGCCAACATAAAAACTGACATGGAGCCCATGGACACCAAGATGCTGAGTGAGGTGAGATTACACCCCTTCCACTGCTTGTTCCTCGCATTTGATACAGTGCCTTATCACACAGTTTCAAAGTGCTTCACAGGACACGCTGTAAAGTGGAGGGACTGTGTATTTGTGGGCAAAACGCAGCAGCCAGGATTATTGGAGTAGTGATATATTTTCTGTCTCTCGCTCTCTCTTGGACAGGAGGAAATGCAGCACATGTCTATCGCCCAAGTACAGAAGGACATGATCACCGTACGTTTGGCTCAAGAGAAAGCCTTGAAGAGGAAGCTCGAGGAGGAGCAGAAACTCAAACAACAACAGCAGTTCGCTGCTCAGTTACAGCCTGGGGCCTGTGTTCTCGGAAAAGCCCCCGTCTCTCTCCTAGGCCAGCCCATGATGGGCCAAACTCCCCCCTCCATCCTAGGCCAGCCCACACACCAGTCCCTGCTAGGGCATCCCAACCAGTCACTCCTGGGACAACTCAACACGTCCATCTTAGGTCAGCCCACCCAGTCTATCCTGGGACACCCGAGCCAGTCCATCCTGGGACACCTCTCCCAATCCATCCTGGGCCACCCCTCACAGTCTATCCTGGGCCACCCCACACAGTCTATTCTGCCACAGAGCAACCCACCAAACCTGTCACAGGGCAACGCACCCAGTAAACCCAACACAACTAACCTGGGCAAGGTAGCCCTGCCCACCATGGGCAAGCAGGCTTCTCCCACCATGGGCAAGCAGACCCCGCCTACCCTGGGCAAGCAGGTCCCTCTGCTGGGCAAGCAGACTCCTCCCGCTCTTGGCAAGCCAGTCCCACCCATCCTGGGCAAGCAGGCCCCTCCCATGCTGGGCAAGCCAGCCCCGCCCACTCTGGGTAAGCAGACTCCTCCCACCATGGGCAAGCAGGCCCCTCCCCTGCTGGGGAAGGCAGCCCCTCCCACTCTTGGAAAGCCACCTCTGCCTATTCTGGGGAAGCAGGCCCCGCCCACCCTAGGCAAACAGACTCCTCCCACTCTGGGCAAACCAACAACCCTCCCACCCAACCTGACCCAGACTAACTTGGTCCAGACCAACCCTCCCACTTTGGCCAAGCCGGCTCCTCCCACTCTGGGTAAACCCACGCCTCCAACCCTGGGCAAGCAAGCTCCGCCCACCCTAGGCAAGGCGACCCCTCCCACACTGGGTAAGCAGGCCCCTCCCACCCTAGGACAGCCCACCCCGAGCCCCGCGGGAGCGGCTCAAGAGGAGCCGATGGAAGTGCAGAGCAGCACAGGGGCGGAGCCTGAGACCCCCACCATCATCATCAACGTGAAGGAGGAAGAGGAGGGGCCGGTGGTGGGGGTGGAGGAGGCATCTCATGAGATGGTCGTCATGGACTCGGGGCATGACGGACAGATTGTGGTAAAGGTATTTTCGGGGTTGGGGGGAAGAGTGTGTTTTGACACTCGCGGAAACCCGTCACCGTTGCTTAAGAGTCTCCAAACCCAACTGAGAATTCCCCACATCCCAATCCCAGAGATAGATTGTTGCAATGGAATACGCGCTCTCTCTCTCTCCCTGGAGGGACGCCTCCTGCTTACCTAATTCCGGAGAGTATTAGGTGCATCTTGGGCGAGAGCCAAGGCTTGAGGGGGGAGCCCAGAGTGTGCGTTGGGGTAACTGATGGGGTCTAACCAGCTAAACTCACACGTAGCTTGGCCACTGAGAGAGAGAGCGCTGTCTGGCCAAGCTTTCCCGCTGCTTGCCCAGCTAAGACCCCACTCCCCGTTAGGCGCCGGCAAGATAGCAGGCAAACAAAAGGGTTTCATTGTCCCTCAACAGCAGCGTGTCCTCTTGCTCGAGGCGAGCGGACTGACCACTACACTACAGGAGGTAATGGCGTTTTCTTTGCGTTTTGTTTTGAGCAGGACACGGACACGGGGGAGCGAGGAGGGAGGCTACAGCCACTGCACGAGGTGGGACACCTGGTGGAGCCGGACCATGGCTCCGTCACCGAGCAGGTGATCCTGGTGAGGGACGAAGCCCCTTCTCCTCTGGCGGCAGGGGGTGGGGAGGAGGGCGGAGGAGGGGGCGAGCGACAGACCCCTCCCGCGGCAGACCAGCCCGAGGAGCCCATGGAGCAGGAGGGGGTGGGAGAAGCGTCCGAAGAGAAGGGGGGAGGGAATGGGAGCCTGCAGAAACCCATCACCAAGCGCAAGGCCACCTTGAGGAAGGTCAACTGAGGAGCGAGCGGTCAAGGCCGAGTGATGGAGAGAAGAGGAGAGAGGAAGAGGAAGGAGTTCCGAGCTTGACCACAAGTCTCTGATAGCCAATACCTGAGAAGGAGCCAGGCTGGCCAGCCTGACAGCGAATCGGGACATCATTCGGACCTTGATCAGCAGATAATTTCAGCCACAATAGATGTTTCAATAGAGGAAATACCCCCCCTCTCCTCTCCCCACCCCACCCCGTATAAACATGTATTTTATGTGTTGTGGACGACGTGTCACAGTTTTAACGTGGTGTGTGTCCCCCCGCGCCCCCAAAAAGGAGGGCACCCGCACCCCTCTTCTTCCACCCCACCTCCGGACTGGCCGACCGCCATGTTTGTTCTGTTGGCCCCATCCCGGGACTCCCCTCATCCACCATCCTCCCATGTTCCCTGTCCACTTGCTGCAATCATATTCCCTCGCGTGGTCTCGCTCCCTCCCACCTCCAGGCGTTCAGGTGAGGAGGCGGACAGTTTACTTCCAGGTTCAGTCCGGTCACCCTTCAAAGCCGGAATCTCCATAACTTTTAAATTTAGCGCCGTGCCATATGGGGAGAGGTTAATAATAATAATAATAATCTTTGCATTTGATATAGCGCCTGATCACGCCTTCGAGGATGGTGGAATAGGGGAGGGGGGGAAGCCATGTGCCCACCGCCACAGCAACCACGACAACCTAGTTTTGATCGCCGGTTCCTGTTTTTGCAAGGATGTTGCAAAGACTTTTATTTTTCTTTGTGAGGAGGTATAGGGGGGATTGTTAGCCTGTGTTCAAATCCTAGCGGTTGCTCTTTTATGCCACGAAGACCATCTTAGACTTCAAACGCTAACCCCTCCCCCCCCCCCCGCGCCCGATTGTACGAACCCAATCAATAAATACTATTTGTGTTTAACCTGGTGCAGAAATACATAATTAATTCCTGTGTATTTGAATGCTAATTCGCAAGGAGTGATGATGATGATGAACCAACCTTGCATTCGATCTAAACGCCGCCTTATCACGTTGAGACGTCTCAAAGAGCTTCACAGGAAATAATTAAAAAAAACACGATTGTTTGTGGGGACGTTGCTGGGTGCAAGGCTGCCGCCTTTTGCCCACACAGTCACTCCACAGCATATCCTGTGAAGCGCTTTGAGTTGTCTCGACGTGATGAGGCGCTGGGTCAAAGGCAGGGATTATTATTATTGTTGTTAACTATTTGAAAAGGGAGTTTCTTTCAGTGTCTCGGAGACCCGGGTGCAATAAGTTATCTATAACTGGCTGGACTGACTGATAATATAATAATAATAATAATCCTTGCATTTGATACAGCGCTTTTCATGTCTTCTCGACATCTCAAAGCACTTCACAGAATAGACTGTAAGTGAATTGACCGTATATTTGTGGGCGAAACGCGTCACAACAGTTGTGGATTGAAAATGACCAATTTATTTTTGTTTTTTGGAGGGATTATTATTGATTGGTTGACTGACTGACTGATTGATTGATTGGTTGACTGACTGATTGAGTGGTTGACTGACTGACTGATTGGTTGACTGACTGGTTGGTTGGTTGACTGACTGATTGGTTGACTGACTGATTGGTTGACTGACTGACTGATTGATTGACTGACTGACTGACTGGTTGACTGACTGACTGATTGATTGACTGACTGATTGGTTGACTGACTGATTGGTTGATTGACTGACTGACTGACTGATTGGTTGACTGACTGACTGATTGGTTGACTGACTGACTGATTGGTTGACTGACTGACTGATTGGTTGACTGACTGACTGATTGGTTGACTGACTGACTGATTGGTTGACTGACTGATTGATTGATTGACTGATTGGTTGACTGATTGATTGGTTGACTGATTGATTGATTGACTGGCTGACTGATTGGTTGACTGACTGACTGATTGGTTGACTGACTGACTGGTTGGTTGACTGACTGACTGGTTGGTTGACTGACTGACTGGTTGGTTGGTTGGTTGGTTGACTGACATGAGTCAGACCCCAGCAGGGATGATTGACAGCTCAGCTGCCTGAGGTGTTCTATTTGCAGTGACGTATACACAGTTTCCTGTGACGTCGGACTCGGTTGGTGACGTAGAACGCGCACTCGCTGTGTTTGTGTGGTTCCCGGGCAACGGTTACCATAGAGACGGAGCCCAGCGTCTGAGGGAGAGGGAGGAGGGAGAGTGAAAGGGTCAAAGGGAGAGAGAGAGAGAGGGAGTGAGTGAGTGAGAGTGAAAGGGTCAAAGGAAGAGAGAGAGGGGGAGTGAGTGAGTGAGTGAGAGTGTAAGAAGGAGAAAAAGTGAGTGAAAGAGAGAGAGAGAGAGAGAGAAAGGGAGAAAAAGAGTGAGAGAAGGAGAAAGGGAGTGAGGGAGGAAAAGAGAGAAAAGCAGTGAGTGAGAGAGTGAGAGAGAGAGAGAGAGGGGCGGAGGAGGTCAGTGAGAGCGAGACATGGCCTTGAATTACGAGCCTGAGGCGCAGGGAACGCTGCAGAAGGAGTCGGGCGCGGAGGCTGAGGTGGCTCTGGCGTACCCCAGTGAGCTGGAGATACAGAACGCCAAAGCCTACCTGCTGACCGCCAGCACCCAGTCCAACCTCAACCTGTGAGCGTGAGCGGCCGTCACCCACACTCCCTCCCTCCCTCCCTCCCTCCCTCCCACTGGCCAACAGTCAACAACAACTTGCCTCGGCCCCTTCCTCGCCTCCTTCAAGACCCTTCTCTTTGACCAACCGCGTCTTCAGTCACCCTCCTTTCTCCCCCCCGCCCTCCACCCTCCCTGACCCCCAGCGCGGGTCCGAAACACCGGCTGTCCAGCGCCTTGGGACGTCCTCCCGACGCGAAAGGCGCTTTACACATGTAGCTTTGTTGTAGTTGTTGTTGTTAGACGCTTAAAGAGTTAGATCACGCGGATAGGCTGGAGTAAGGAGACTTGCCCAACGTTGCGCCCGGCCCGGAATCAAACCCAGGTCCTCTCGCTCACTGCTGCTGTGGCTACGATAATGGCGTTCGACCCGGTGCCTCATCACGTCTCCGAAGCGCTTCACGGGATGCGCTGTCAGGTGCAGTGACTGCGTGTCTTGTGGGTGAAACGCGACAGCCGATTGTGCCCAGCGACGTCCCCACAAACAGCCGGGGGTTGAAGTGACCCAGTTTATTGTTTTCGGGTGGAGGGGGGTGGGGGGGGGTTCAGAGTGAGTTGTCGTCGTTGTTGGCTCGGGGTCAGTCTCCGCCATTGGCAAGCGCTCTGGGGTGCTGAGCCGCGTGATGGGCGCTGTGTACATACAAGCTGCTGCTGTTGTTGTTGTAGCTATGACCATTTGGCTGAGGTGCTGACTAAGATACTGAACGAGCGCCCTATGGACGTGGTGGACATCTTTGAGGACTTGAGCCGGGACGTGAAGACAATGATGTTCACAGAGAAGCTGGACACACTGCAGGACGACTGGGAGACCTCCTTCGCCTACAGCCTTGCCGAGGTGCAGAAATCCCTCTTCATCAAACCCGAGGAGGAGGAGGTGGAAAACGAGGAGGAAGTGGTGAGTGTCTCTCTCTCTCTCTCCTCTCACCCTCCTTTCCTCTCTCGCTCTCTCTCTCTCACTCCTCTCCTCTCTCTCTCTCTCTCACTCCTCTCCCTCTCCTCTCGCTCGCTCTCTCTC